GCCTCGGGGGTTGGGGGTCTTGCCAAGGGTGGGCCCCCTTCCAGGGCTTCGGGGGCTCCCAGGGCTGAAGCGTTCGAGTAGGCTTGATATGGATCGCGCAAACCTGTGTCGGTGCGACGCCCGAATAAGGAGATGTCCCAAACATGGACATGACTGCCCGTACCAGCAGCGAATGATGCGGTTTGGTAGATGGTTCGCTGGTTTTCGACCGGATTAAGATCAGCGGTGTAATTTTGTTCAGTTCGGCGAGATCGCTTGCTCTTTGAGGCGACGCTGGAACCTGTAGCATCCTGACGACAGCCCCGCTTTTGGAGATCGCGGGAACATTGTGCGCGATCGCAGGGGTCGCTGACACCATTGTTGACCGACTGTTGCGGTAGCGAGCTCGATCGTGTGATCGGCCGAGACGGTGAGGCCGACCGAACATTTTGGAGTCACCTTCCCGCCAGTGGGATAGCTGGGAAGCCCTCTCCCTAGCGGTGGTCGCTGGGCCACCCGCAGGGAGAGGGGCAGGCGTGAAGGTACGGTAGGGTCGCGTTGTGTTGACCGGCGGCGACCCCAGCGTGGGTGCTAAGGTTGAACGCCGCCCGTGGCCCAGAATCGGCCCGTAGTTGAACGATCCGGCGTTTCTGAAACGGCCGGTTTTTTAAGTTTGAACGATCCCCGCGCTGTTTTTCAGCAACGCTGGGGTCGACACGGCCCGAACCCCTCTCTGCACCGTGAACAAATCAGCTTCGCGTGAGAGTGACCCTGCGCCAGAGTCCTTTGGTGAAGGGCACACAGGTGCCGCTCCAGCACTGGCCGGCGCATCTGGATTTGGCTTGCCCGCGGCCCCCTGCAGCCGCGCACCAGAAGCCATCCCTATCTAGGCACCCTTGCGGCGAAGCGCGAAGAGAGAAGCTCGGCCGCTCGCGGATGCGGCGCAGAGCCCTTGCGGCGCCCGTGCCCACAGGCCGCGGCTCCTGGCTGCGACTGGCGCGCACGGCGGCTGCCGCCCGGTGCCGGCGGCCCCCGGCGAGAGTCGGCGCGCGCCGGGTGCCGCAGCCTCGGCGCCCCGCGGGCTCGTCGGGACAGGCGCAGGAGCCGGGCGCCCCGAGGAAAAGCGAGCAGCGCGGGCTCGGGCTCGGGCTCACTCGGGCTCGGGCTCGGGCTCGAGCTCGGGCTGAGTCTCAGGCTTCGGCCCTCGGGCTCGGGCTCGGGCTCGGGTTCGGGCAGGGGCTCGTGCGCAGGCTTGGGCTCGGGCGCGGTCTGCGGCTGCCGCCCGAGCTCGACTGTGCGCGTCTTCGCGTGGCATCCACAACCCGCCGCCTGGGGGATCCATGTTCGGGGGCCTCGGGAGACGCCGGGGTCATGGATGTGTTCGGGCCCTGGGGAGGCGGGACATAAATGATCGCGGGCTCCGGGCCCACGGTCCCCCCCCCGAGATCGGATGGGTCCCAGGGTCCTCGGGCCCCCCCCCTCCAGATGGGATGGGGTGGGGAGGAGGAGGAGGAGGAGGAGGAGGAGGAGGAGGAGGAGGAGGAGGAGGAGGAGGAGGAGGAGGAGGAGGAGGGTGAGGAGGAGGAGGAGGAGGAGAGGAGGAGGAGGAGGAGGAGGAGGACGACGACGACGACGACGAAGACACCTTCCGCTCCGGCTCCCTGAAGCACCGGAACACAACGACACACCCAGAAGGAGGCGACGACGGTGAAGACACCGTCGACGACGATGTTCCTTTTCCTCCTCCCCCCATCCGCCTCTCCATCCCTCCCTCCTCGTTTTTGGCCCTCTCTTCCCTACCCTGCTCCATCCTCCCGCTTCCTCTCCCCATGTAGCCGCCACTCTCGGGAGGCAAAGGCTGAGGATGACGACGATGGCGAAGACGACGACGACGACACGACGGCGGCGGCGGCGCCAGCGACGCCGACTCTTGGCTGAGGCGGACCCCTAACCACCGCACACCCACAGGGGGGACCCCACACCACTCCCACAGGGGGGGGGGGGGGGGGGCGGGGGGGCCACCACGCCACGCCCACGCCCACAGGGGGGGGGGACCATCGCGCGGGGGGTTGGGGGGGGCCCGACGGCATTCGCATTGGGAGGGGGGGGGGGGCCCAAACCCTCGACCATACATGCCCACCTGCACCGCTTGCCGAGGTCCCCGAAGATCTATCCGCCAGGCGGTGGTTGTGGTTATGGGTGAAGCCCCGCCACGCAGATGATGCCTCATAACCCAAATAAGTCCTGAACAGGCTCACCTTGATCTTTCTCTCCCTCTCTCTCTCTCTCCCTCGTACTCTCTCTCTCTCTCCCTCTCTCTATTTTTTGTTTCCCTCTCTCCTTGTGTATGTGTATACATGTGCAGATATTTCTCTCTTTCTCTCTCTCTCTCTCTTTGTCTCTCTCTCTCTCTCTATATATATATATATATGTAGATGTATGCACACATGCATATGTATATCTCTGTCTCTGTCTCTCTCTCTCTCTCCGCCCCTTCGTCTCTGCTACAGGCTGACATGGTGCCGCGTGGCTTTGTGTTGCTTCCTCGTCGTCGCATCTGGGTTGGCTACACATCGCACTCCCTTGATTGTTCTCGTTTCGTGTTTGGTTATTTGCGGAAGTTGCACGCGACATATTGTTCGATATTGAGCATCACTGCTGCTTTGCAGCAAATATATGGGTGTATGATCGTCAGGCCGCGGCAACTCTACAGCCGCCTCAAAATTGGGCCACAGCCCGTATATTAGCGCTGCCGTCGTGGCAACCCCGCCGCTTCGCACACCTGCCTCGTCTCCGTTGTGTAAGTGTCTCGTGGGTACCCCTCTGCGCCCTTTCACGAGGCGGCATCGAAGGCAAAACAAAGCTCGCTCACGCTGGGTTCGTAGCTACCTTTTGTTTTTGCCATCCCGTGAGTTCATCCAGTGGCCGTTGGTAGGGCCGCCTGCGATCCGATTCGGTGGGATTCGATTTGCCTGTTGGGCCGCGATCCCGATTCGATCCGGCTCGGTTCGATTCGCCGGCGTCGGCTGGGGCCAGCTGGAGCCGAGCGCATCGATCCGAGTGTGATGCGCTTCGGGACGATTCGCTTGCGATCCGATCCGTCTCCCATCCGATCCGATTCCACGAGTCCGTCGTGCGTGTCATTGCCAGAGGTTCACAGATTGCCCTTAGCGAACCCTCTGGCAATCCCGGAGCTCCAGCCTGCCTTGCGTGCGCGCTGCTTCCAGGGGAACCGTCGGAGCGGCCCGCGCTTGCAGCAGCGCCCTCTCAGCCCCGTGCCCAGAGCGCGCCCTACCCTTCGCCGGAGAGGAGGAGGAGAAGGGGGAGGAGCAGGAGGAGGAGGAGGAGGAGGAGGAGGAGAGGAGGAGGAGGAGGAGGAGGAGGAGGAGGGAGGAGGAGGGAGGGGAGGAGGAGGTGGAGGAGGAGGAGGAGGGGGAGGAGGCGGTGGAGGAGGAGGAGGAGGAGGAGGAGAGGAGGAGGAGGGAGGAGGAGGATTGAGGAGGGAGGAGGAGGAGGGGAGGAGGAGATGAGGAGGAGGAGGAGGAGGAGGAGGAGGAGGAGGAGGAGGAGGAGGAGGAGGAGGAGGAGGGGGAGGAGGAGGCTCCCCCCCCGAGAGGCTCCTAAGCGAGCGCGCCTGCGCCCGCTGAGCCGCTGTCGGGGAGCACCGCGCTTCGGTGCTGCTGCGCGGCGTCGTCGCGTCGTGCCCGCCCGTCGTGCCTTGCTCTTCGGGGGAGATCTCTGCGGGGGCCGCTCGGGCTCTGCCAGCGGCCCCTCGGGGTGCCTCCTGGGGGTGTCTCGAGGGCTTCCCAGGTCGGGGGCCTTCTCGGCGGCGTCGGGGCCATCCTGGCGGGACGGCCGGGCCGACTCCCGAGAGGCCCGTTCTCGGTCTCCTCTCAGGACCGCTCGGGGCCCTTGGGCACTCATGGCCCCTCTCGGGCCCCTCACGGGCCCCTCTTGGCCTCTGGGGGCCGCCCGCAGTGCCACGTGGGGCCGTCTTGGGACCACCTCGAGGCCTCTGGGCCCATCTGCGGCTTCAAGAGACTCAAGAGTCACCAGCATGGCTCCAAGATGGCTCAAGGCGGCCCAAGACGGCTCGGGTGCTGGCCATCATGGTCCAGTGAGTACATACATGGGCGTGGCAGTTGCTGCGCTCTTTGCCGAAGGTAGATTTAATCGGCGCGCCGCTTCCACTTGCGCCCATCATATCTCCCTTAATTGATTTGTCCCTCTCCCCCCCTTCGCCCTCCTCCGCCCTCCTCCGCCCCCTCCTCTTCACCTTGCGCCACCCTCCTCTCTCCCACTTCCCCGACATCCTTTCCCGACCACGCCTGAGATCCGACGTCGTGGCAAACATGCAACGTCGTGAAACAATCACGACCGGAGCTCTGTAGACCCTATCTTTCTCTCTGCTGCATCTCTCGAGCCAGACCGATCTGTGAGGGGCGCGGGGCCCGAAACCAGGCAAAAAAACGCGCGGCGTTCACAAGAGTGCGACGCCCGGGTCTCAAGGGCCTTCTCGCGTCGTCGTCCATATCCAGGCCCCCGACGTCGTGATTTCTTTCACAAAGTGGACCCCCCGAGGTCTGGACTCCTTCCCCTGGACCAGCTCCTCACCCCGAGTCGGTTTTTTGTTTTACGGTCCCGAAGCCCAGTGAGGGCCCCGAGAGTCCGAGAATCCACAGAAACCTTTCGTCGTAATTTTCGTCTCGTCCTATCCTCTGATCGTCGTCTCCACTGCACTCCCGCCGGGCGAAGCGGAGGCAGAGGAGGAGGAGGCGGAGGAGGAGGAGGAGGAGGAGGAGGAGGAGGAGGAGGAGGCCCCTTTTCCACGCCCCGCCCTCGGGCCGCGACTGCGAGCGCGCCGCTGTCCGCGTCAGATCGATGCCGAACGTCGGATCCGTGCAATATCAATCAACGTCGCATGCAGGCCGAGTCCACGCCGCATTCACGCCGAGCTCGCGCCGATCCCGCGCCGATCCCGCGCGGAACCCACGTCGAGCCCGCGCCGAGCCCGCGGCGAGGCAGACCTGGGCGCGGTGCTGGCGCGGGCGCACGCCGCGGGCGTCGGCCACATCATGGCCCCCTCCCCGCCAGTCTGCGCGCGGCGGGCCGGCCTTGCCTCGGCGCTTCTGGCCCCGCTCCTCGGCCAGGGGGGGGGAGAGGCCCCGGGGGGGGCATGGGCCCATGGTCGGGCAGGAGCTCCCTATGGGGGCAGAGGCCCAGGGGGGGGGGGGGATGGGCTCATCAGAGGGGCATCGGCTCACGAGGGGGGGCATGGGCTCATTCAGGGGGGGCCTCGGGGCCTGGGCTCATTCAGGGGGGCCTGGGCCCAGGGCGGGATAGGTGCACTAGCGGGGGACCGGCTCAGCAGGGGGGCCTCGGCTCATCGGGGGGGGATGCGCTCGTTCTGGAGGGTAGGCTCGGGGGGGACAGGCTCGTCAAGACGGGGGCTATGCTCACGAAGGGGGGATCACCTCATTGAGGGGGGGATCGGCTCATGATGGGGGGGATAGGCGCAGGAGGGGATAGGCTCAGGGGGGATAGGCTCGTTGGGGGTGATAGGTTCATCAGAAACCTTAAGGGAAAGCATCACATGCCATGGACTCCAGATTTCGTTCAAGAAGTCAAGAATATGGGCTGGACCCTGGGCGTTTCCGTGGAGTTTTTCTCTTCGTAGGATGCTCGTGCATTTGGACCTGGACTACGTTTTAAGAGAGAAACTTGGAGTGATATTCATTCTCTTAGCCCACAATTCTTTTTACGCGGAGCAGGGTGTAGGCTCATGGGGGGAGGCTCAGGATCGAGGTTAAAGGTTTGCGGTTTTCGGACGCTTTCGTCGGTTCTTAGCGGTGTTCCAGCCTCGGGATGCCTTCCAGCGGCTGCGCCTCGCCGAGAGTGTTAGGGAGGAGGACAGAGAATGGAGGGAGGGGGGAGGAGGGAGGAAGCAAGCGGGATACCCAAGGAGGAGGCGGAGCAGGCGAAGGCTGGAGGAGGATCTCGCTCTCCTGCTCCACGGCTGCTGCCGCACCCTGTGCGCCCTGTTCTGAGCCACCGCCGCATACAGTAGGGGTCTTGAAGAAGGAACCCTTTTCGTTGGGGAGGGGCTCCGTGTTCCTTGATTGTTTCACAGCTTGCCTCAGGTTTTCCCAAGGTTTTCGATGGGGAATCGAAGTTTAACTTGTGGAAAAAAGGGGCCTCGTTCCTTATTTAGGGTTCCTTAGGTCAACGCCCCGACTGTACGTGCTTGGGGACGCCAACTCATACCGATCCTGGCCGGGCCAATCCTGGGCCCAGGCTCCGTGCAGACGCCTCCCCGCGAAGCTGGGAGGGAGTACGCGCCGGTCGGGCACCCGCGACGGGCCTGGCCAGGATCGGTGACGGCGCATACGGTAGCTTCGCGCCGTGTCGACCCGCGGCGACCCCGCCGCCGGCGACCCAGACTAGGACGCGTCGGAAACGGCCAATCGTTCAAGGTTGAACAGTCCCCGCGGTGTCGGGAGCCAGCGCCGTGGTCGACGCGACAAGAAGCAGCCGTGCTTCTCGCGGCCCCCAGCCGAGGGCGTCGAAGGGTGTACAGGCTCCCCGTCGCCAGCAGCCAGAGCGCGCGCCCCCGAGGCCGAGAGCGAGGAAGCGAGCCGGGACGGAGCAGAAACGCATCGCTCGGGCGGGTGGTCATGTTGATGGGCCTGCTTTCCGCCACCACCACCACCATGAGTTGGAGGGGGAGGGGGTCCTCCTCCCCCTCCTCACCTCCTCCTCCTCCTCCTCCTCCTCCTTCTCCTCCTCCTCCTACTCCTCCTCCTCCTCCTCCTCCTCCTCCTCCTCTTCGTTCTCCTCCTCCTCCTCCTCTTCGTTCTCCTCCTCCTCCTCCTCCTCCTCTTCGTCATCCTTCTCCTCGTCCTCCACCTCCTTCCCCCCTCCAACTTGTGGTGGTGGTGGTGGAAAGCAGGCTTATCACATGTGGGGTGGCCCGAAGGGGGGGTGAAGAAAAAGGCTTCCAAGGGGCCCTTTCAATGCTCCCTTCGGGCACCAGCTGGGTCCAGAAGGGGCCCTGAAGGGCCTCTTTAAGGCCCCTTTCTTCACCGCCTGTTTGGGGGGTTTGGGTTCACCACCCGCCCGAATCGCTGGAGATCTGGGGGGCAGGAGGTCAGGGGCAACGATAAGGGGGATGCATCCACCCCAAATCGTCCTTGGATCACAGATGGGGGCTCGATAGCCCGCCCCTGAGTCAGTCAGCCAGTCCCCTCCCTACCGTCGCCGATTCCAGGTCGATGCCCCCCCCCCCTTAGCCCAGTCCCCCTCATCGTTGCCCGTGGCATCGCTCGGACGTGTGCACTTATTTTCGGTGAGGCCAGTGCCAGAATATATCTGGACCGTCCAGGTGGTGCACCCTCGACCCTCCAGGGAGAATGGGGGCCAAAACATATACACCACCACCACCTCCCCCCCCCTCCCTCTCGCTGGAGAGAGGAGAGAGGAGGAATCGACGTGGTGGTGGTGTCTACTCTTTGGGCCCCCCGAGAGATGCACGCGCGAGACCGAACCATGCAGCAGGACTGGGCGCCCGAGCGATGGCAAGTGCCCCTCGGGAGGTGGCCTGGCCAGCCCGGTGCAGGCGCGGCCCTCGTCCGCGCCCCGGGGGGGTGCCGCCCCGAGAGGTCACCGCGGGCGCGCTGCAGGAGGCCCGCGAGGCGCTGGCGCTCTGTGCTCGCCAGGAGCACGGGCGCGCCTCCCCCCCCCCGGGGGCCGGAGCGGTAGGTCGGGCCTGTCCCCCTACAGGGGGATTTTGGACGAAAAACAAAAAAAGATACCCCAAACTATTCAAAAGATGCCCAAACATACGCAAAACATATTCCCCCGACTATTTTGTTGACTCTTTTGGAAGATTCTCCCTGTAGAGGGACAGGCCCGACTTAAGTGGAGCGGGACCAGCCCAGGCGCTGACAGGAAAGGAGCACTTTGAGTTCGGAAAGGGGCTCGTTGCTCCTTTGGGAAGTTTGCGGTTGTTCCTCTAGCCCTCCTCGTGCACCCAGGCGCTGCTGGCGCCAAAAGGGGTCTTCGTTCCTCATCGAACGGCCTTCGGCCCATCCCGCCCCCGTGCCTGGGTTGTGAGTCCAGACGCTGAAGAGAAAGGACCGCACTGGGTTCGGAAGGGGCTGGCTCTTCCGTGGTTGTTCCTCTAGCCCTCTTCGTGCACCCAGACTCTGCTGGCGCCAAATAGCAGCTTCGTTCCTCATCTAGTGGCCTTCGGACCATCCCGCCACCGTGCCTGGGTTGCGGGTCAGAGTTCTCAGGGATGCTTCGGAGCGCTCTCGGGGGTCTCTTGGGGGCCGTTTTGGGGCCTCTTGGGAGCCTCTTGGGAGCTTCTTGGGGGCATCTTGGGGGCTTCTTGGGGGCCTCTTGGTGGCCCTCATGGGCCTCTTGGAGGCCTCTTTGGAAGCCTCTTGGGACCTCCTGGGAGGCCCTCGGGGCCGAGGGCTGGAAATGTCCGTTCGAGTCGCCCATCTGGGCCCCCTGTTGGAGCCGTTTTTGGGGCCTCTTGGGCCGTCTTGGGGCACTCTTTGGCTGTTTTGGGGCGCCCTCTTGGGGGCCTATTGGGTCGTCTTGGGGCGATCTTGGGGACCCCTGCGGCCATCTGGGAGCGTCGGGAAGTCGAAAAGGCGAGGAAGAAAAAAACCTTCAAAACCTTAGGACAAGCAATGATCCTGGCCTCTTGGTACCCTCTTGGGATGCCTCTTATGGCGTCTCGGAGGCCTCCTTGGCCGTCTGAGGGGCCATCTTGCGCGTCTGGGGCTGATCTCTGGGCGTATCGGGGCCCTCTCGGACCGTCATCGGGGCCTCTTGGGACCCCCTTGGCCCGTCTTTGGGCCCTCTCAGGCCCGACAAATTCACGCGCCACCGCGCGCGGGGGAGCCCAGAGGGCACGCGTCAAATGATTGGGCCCAGGGCCTGAGGACACGCCCACTCTGTGCCCAGCGGCACGGTGGCGGATTTGGCGTTCCTTATTTCAGCAGCCCTTCTGTATGTTGCGCGGTCCAGAGCCCAGACGTGATCGCGTCGTCAACAAAACCGCGACGGGAGGTTGTTGGCCGTTTTCTACGCCCCTGGGGGACCTCACGGGGCCCCGGGCCCCCATCGAAAAACGGCTCGGGATGAACACCCAGTCTGAGGGAGAGGGTCGGCACCTCCCAGGACCCCCGCATCGACAAGACCCGGATCTCGTGTGTTTGGGAAAGGGAGTCTCCTGGCCTGCTGCACGCGCGTGCGGCCTGATTCTGCCGCGCTGCGACGTACAACAGGTTTGGGAGCCGGCCGTTCCTTCGGCGCGTCCTCGCCCTCGGCGGGCGCCGGCGGAGGTCAGACGGTTCGCTCCTACTTGCCCGCGTGTCCTTCGAAACGAGTTCCCCACGCCCTCGATACCCGCCTTTTTTTTTTTTTTTCTCTTCGCTTACACCCCCTTTGGGGGGACTCTTTCTCTTTGCGGGGGGCGGCGGGCTTAGACAGGCGGGCAACCCTGAACGGGCGGACAATCTTTCGTGGGCGTACATGTGCCCGCCATTGGAGTTGGTGTGGGCCCTGCAAAATGGCGGAGCGTTGGCGGCAGGCGGCGGACAGAAAGTGAGGCGTCAACATTTTTGGGTTCAGGGTTCCCGTGATTGGCCAAGCGTCCCCGTGCCACTTCTCACGGCGGCTGCGTTCGTCCTGGGGCGATGCCGTCCAGGCCGCCAGCAGCTCTTTCCATGCCGAAAGGCGACGGTCGGTCTCACGGATGGTTCGGGCTGTGCATGTGAGGGGAGGGGTGGGCGAGGGAGATGCAGGAGAGAAGGATGACGGGGAAGGAGGGTGGAGGAGGAGCTAGAAGTGGAGGGGATGGGGATGGGAGAGGTGGAGCGGCGAGGTGGACGAAGGCAGACAGTGGTCGCCCAGCTGCGAGCGCACTTGCCAGTTGCACTCAGCGCCAGGCTTTCTGTTGCTTGGTGCCGTGAGGGCTTGTGCCAAGAAGCTCGGGCAGAGATGAATTCGACGTACTTCGCAGGACTCCTCGGCTCCCGCAGTGAGTCAGGCTGCTGACGCATGCCGAGGCTTCACAGCTCGGCGAGGCGCAGATCCCTTGCATCGATCCTTGGGCATCAGCCCCGTGCAGACGAGCAGCTGTTGATGGAGGTCGGCAAGATATCCACTTCCTCCCTGGATCATTGGGCCAGGATTCGCGGCGTCTTCTGCTGGTTCTTCTCGTCTTACGGAGCGGTCTGGGCTGGGCTGTTGGGCTGCCCCCCTCGCCGCCTCGACCGTGCCGCATCTTGTGGTGGCAAGAGGCCGCACTGATATCTTGTCCTTTGAGAGATTCGTGCAGCCAGTGAGCCTGCAGACTCTGCAGCCGAGCCAGGCCCAGAGTATTCCCGCGGCCTCCCAGGAGGTCGCCCAGGAGGGGCGGGGGCGAGGGGAGCGGAGGATACGGAGGGAGAGAGGGGGGGGGGTTGATGCTGCTCTGTGATGGGAGCGCGCGCCAAAACTCCATGAGCACGAGGGGGCCCGAACTGGTGGCGGCGGGGTGAAAAGGCGAGCGGGGGGGGGGGGGACGGGACGGGGAGGAGAGTGGAGGACAGAGGGGAGGGGGGCTCGCGTGGAGAGGGCAGTGGTGGAGGCGGGGCGACGTGGGGGCGCGGGGCATGCGTGAGGAGGGTGGGGGTGGGGAGGGCCGAGGAGGGGAGGGCGAACGGGAAGGGGGTGTGTCTGCATGGAGGTCTGTCATGGTCTGGCTAGAGGCGCCCCAGAGAACAATAAAGCCATGAATAGTCTTGCTAATCGTAACGAGAATAAGAATATTAGCCAGCGTGATCCCCAGCCACGGAATCATTGCACTTATGTGGTGGGAACTATGCTGTGAACGCTATGAGGTGCAAGCTTTGCCGTGTAAGCTATGCGGTGCCAGCTATGGAAATGAAAACTAGATATTATCCACGTGGTGTACGCTAAGTGGTGACTGGGGACAAAGCTATGCGGTGTACGCTGTATGCTGTGTACATTGTGCAGTGTAAGCTATGCGATGTAAACCAAGTGGTGTACGCTACCCAGCTGCCTGTGGCAAGCACTGCCCGCGTGCCAGCCCAGCTTCTTTGGAGCGATATTGCAGGCCTCCTGGGCCGTCTGCAGCTGACAGAAACTTGGAAGCATGAGAATCCAACAACCACGGGCCCTCCTCCTCTTGAAACCCTCTTGAGCTGTCGTTGGGGCCTTTGTGAGCTATCCTGAAGCCATCTTGGGCCGTCATGAGACTATCTAGAGCCTTTTTAATGCCATCTTTGACCATCTTGGAGGCTTCTTCGTCCATCTTGGCTGCCTGTGTGGCTGTCCTGGGCCTTTATGGAAGTCTTGGAGAGGAACAGGATGACACCATGGCCGCCCATGGACCCCCCGGAGTAGGGGTGGTGCACGCAGGCGGGTGCGAGGTGACCGGCCCTCTTGCGGCGATTCTGGAGGTTTCCTGGGCCGTCTTCAGCAAACAGAGGCCCAGACACGTGAGAATCCAAACATTCGTGAACAGCTAAAGGAAATCATCGGTTTTTGCTTCCTCGGGCTCTTCGGAAGCTCTTCTTGGGGCCTTCTGGAGCAGTCATGCGGCCTCGTTGAGCCATCTTGAAGCCATCCTGGGGCGTTGTGGGGCTATGTTGGGCCCTCTTGGAGTCAGCTTCATCTTGGGACATCTTGGCGGCCTGGATGGCTTTCCTGGGCCGTTTTGGAATACTTCGTGGGCTCCAGGGAAGCGCCATAGCCGCCCAGGATCCTTCGGGAGGAAGGGCGGTGCACGCGCCACTCTGTGACGCGAGGAGGCGGCTCCCTCAGAAGACTACGGAGACCCTGCCAGACTGCCAGACAGCACTTGGCATTCTTCCACGCCTCAACGTGCCAGGAGGCACGGTGGCGGATGTTGTGTTAGGTACGTGGTCTAAAACTCATGTAAGCATGTGGTCTAAAAATTATGTCAGCTCAGCGCTCGGAGCGCTCACGAGCGCTCACGAGGCGGCACGAGCTGCAACGTGGCGCAACCTCGGCGGCCCCACCCAGCGCACGGGGTGCCCACGATCGCCCCCGAGACAGCACAAGGCGGCAACGTGACACATCCGCTGCGGACCCGTCCAATCACTTAAGCAGCAGCAGTGCAAGCACTGTCTGGGAACTACAGAGCATCAGCACGATGAGGGCGGGCAATGATACTATCGAGACGACGAGTCTCGAGTCATCCCGCCAGTGACGAGAGGAGTCGCAGCCACCCGAGTAGTCAGAGTGTGAGGGCAGGAGTGGCAAGAGCCACGATCCTACCAGATGCACCCGCGAGCAGCAGTGGTATGGCAGCCGAGTGGGGTGCGGAGGGCCGGGGAGGGGAGGGGGCAGCACCTCGGGCACACGGGCCCGCCCGCTGCAGCCCGCCAGGGCCGCCGTCGTCGTCGTCGTCGTCGTCGTCGTCGTCGTCGTCGTCGTCGTCGTCGTCGTCGTCGTCGTCGTCGAGGGTCGTCGTCGTCGTCGTCGTGATCGTCGTCGTCGTCGTCGTCGTCGTCGTCGTCGTCGTCGTCGTCGTCGTCGTCGCCCCCCCTTGGACGTCATCTCCTCCGGCAGGAGGGCTCGTGGCCGCAGCTCTGCCGCGGCCTCAGGGCGCGGGAGGGGCCCCCTTCGGTCGTGCCGCGGCACGTGCGCCGCAGGGCCCCAGACTGTCTCTCGGCGGCGAGCGAGGGGGGGGAAGGGAGAAGGAGCAGGCATTCCCAGAAGGGTGCGGGGCCTCTCGGAAGCCCTCCGGCCTTCTGAGAAGTTTTCTGCGTCTTCGGCGCAGGCCCGAGTATTCTCTTTGGGTGGAGGGCAGAGGGTGAAATCTGAAATGCCGCTTCGATGGATTCTCGAGGCTCGAATCTGCCAAAGGTGAATCGCAAGACGGATGGATCTTCGAGGTGCACAAGCCCATCTGGAGGATTTCTCCCTGGAGCCCTCCGCCCTAAGAGCAAATGCTTGGAAGGCTTCCGAAGACTTCTCAGCAGGCTGGGGGACTTCCGAGCCCTCGGAGAAGACCCGCCCTGTCTCGCTTCCCTCCCCGAGGCCCGCCGCCGATTCATACAGTCAGGAGGGGAACAACACACACACAGACACAATTCATCGTGGACTCCCAGGAAAAGATGGGAAATATGGGAAGTGGGGGAGGAAGACGAAGACCCAGAAAATATGAGAGAATATGGGGGATCCTGGGATGTGTGTGTATGTGTGTCTTTGTTTGTGTGTCCCAGGGCCCTATCATCAGCATCATTATCATTATCAGCATCATCGTCAGCATCAGCATCAGCATCAGCATCAGCATCAGCATCAGCATCAGCATCAGCATCAGCATCAGCATCAGCATCAGCAGCAGCAGCAGCAGCAGCATCAGCATCAGCATCAGCATCAGCATCATCATCATCATCATCATCATCATCATCGTCATCGTCATCGTCATCGTCATCATCATCATCATCATCATCATCATCATCATCATCATCATCATCATCATCATCATCATCATCATCATCATCATCATCATATCCAGCCCCGACGCCTGGGGAACGGATCTTCCAGGACCTCGGGAGGTGGTGGACTTTGACATTTGCGGGCCCCCTGGGTCCCATTCGCCGCCCCCCTGGGGGCCCTGAGATGGCATCGGTTCTCCAGGCGGTGGACATGAAGACGTTCACCGCCTCGCACTTCGGCGGAGGTGGCGGGAGGCATCGGACGGTGGTCGGAATGTCTCGGGAGGTCTCTGGACGGGTTTCGAGGGGCCCCAATGCCCCAGGGAGGCCTTCTATGAATGAAAATAATCACTTGCCGAACTTGAAGTTGTCAACTCCACTGCTCGCGCAATCATCCCACCCACCCACCCGCAACTTGGTTTGCAAAACCCATGCGCGACCGGGCATAGATATCGCTCCAGGGTCGTCTTGGAGCCCTCGGGGGCGTCTCAAGAGCGCCCCAAGAAGGCTGGAGAAGCAAGACGGCCGACGACGACGACGACGACGACGACGACGACGACGGCGGCGATGACGACGACGACGCCGACGTCGACGACGACGACGACGACGACGCCGACGCCGACGACGACGACGAAGACGACGACGACGTCGCCAACGAAGAAGACGACGAGGGAGGAGGGAGGACGACGACGGCGACAACGCCGACAACGACGACAACGACGACAACGAGGGAGGAGGGAGGACGGCGACGACGCGAACGACGAAGAAGGAGGAAGGACGGCGACGCCGACGACGACAACGACGAGGGAGGAGGGAAGACGACGACGAGACGACGACGACAACGACGACGACGACGGCGACGAAATAGGAGGGACGACGACGAGACGCCGACGACGGACGACGACGACGACGAGGGAGGAGGAGGAAGGACGACCACGGCGACAACGACGACGGAAACGACCACGACGCCAAAGAGGACGACGACGACGAACACGAGGAAAGACACAGGACGACGTAGGCGACGACGACGACGACGCGGGAGGAGGGAGGATGGCGACGACGACGACGACGCCGCACGAGCGCGCGCGCACGTTTTTGTTGAAAATCCGTGTTGCGAACCCTTGTGTTTTTGTAGGTTTTTCGGACGCGCGATTTTGAAATCCTTCCGAAACCGATGGGTTTTGAAGGATTTCGGCGTACGCGCGCGACGACGCGCGCGTCTGCACTTCGTCTTTTTTTTTGCAGAGGATTCTCGCGACGGCACACGCGCAAGGGCGTTCGACAGATTTCGACATGCGCGCGCGCGACGCCCGTTTGGTAGCATGTTGTGAAAATCTTGAAAAACTTATGGTTTTCTTAAGTTTTCGCAAGAGCTCGCGCGGAAGCTTTTTTAGCAAATCAGTGAGACGAAACCCTGTGTTTTTGTATTGTTTTTTTGGAAACTCGATTGCGAAATCCTTCCGGCACCGAAGGTTTTTGAAGGATTTCGGCATGCGCGCGCGACGACGCGCGCGTGTGCAATTCGTCCTATTTTTGTAATGGGTTCGCGAAAAAGTGTTATGTCAGAACAAAAAATGTCACCGCATAGTGTTTTTGACAAGGGAACCTCAGAGGGGGGAACCCGGCTGGCCTGGGACATGGTGATTTCATATTTAGGATGGACATGTGGTCAGAGTCATATGTGATTTACATACCCGACAAGGGTAGCGATAACGCCAGGGGGGGGGTAGAGTCTATTCTCTTTTTAGAAAGGAGAATGGACGTGGATATGGTTGTCGCGCTTTTCGCCATCGTCGCCGCCGCGTGGGGCCCTAGGTATTTCCCATGCTTGGCGCCACCACCTGCAACTTCGATTCCGCCGCCCAGATCCCACCCTGTAGATTGCGCCGCGCAGAGTGCAGCGCATAGACTGCGCCTTATATATTGCGCACCGTAGGTTGCACAGATGCACTGTTCGGGGTCGACCCTGTGGATTGCACCGACATATCATCGATCAAATCAAAGAGCTTCTCGCTGGTCCCAAATCTGTCAATCACTTCATCCAACTCCAATCTCGTGACAGTCGTCTGCTTTCGACGTAGCTGCTGAATCCAACTCCCCAGATCGCCAGGATTAGAAGGTGCCGCACCCAAATGGTAGAAGGTCGGATTGACGGAGAGCCCAAATCTTTTCCTAGACAGCGCCGCCTGCATCGGTTCAACAACCAGTCGAACTTCAGGCATCGACGGGCATCCCAAGATGGAGCGGTGCGTGGGGCGCCGCCCTCGCAGGGGCGCACGCGGAGCGCTCCGGGCAGCTCTCACCGAACTCCTCCTCCTCCTCCTCCTCCCTCCTCCTCCTCCTCCCCTCCTCCTCCCCTCCTCCTCCTCCTCCTCCTTCTCCTCCTCCTCCTTCCCTCCTCCTCCTCCTCCTCCTCCTCCTCCTCCTCCTCCTCCTCCTCCTCCTCCTCCTCCTCCTCCTCCTCCTCCTCCTCCTCCCCGGACCTCTGCGCAGGGCGGGGGCCGCGCCGGCGCCCGCGCCGCGAGCGGCGCGCGGCCGGCTCGTCCCGCTCGCGCCGCGCTCTTCCCTCGCAGGCGGCGCCGGCCGCGCAGCAGGGCCGAGGAGCTCCGGGGCCACGATCGGGGGGTGTAGGCTCAAGTCGGGCGTGTCCCCCTGTAGGATCTTGGGCGACAAATCTGTAAAAGAACCAAGAACTGTGCAGCAATAGCCAGACATAAGGAAGAGCAGCGTCCCCGGACTATTGTTGGACTGTTTCTGACTATGCCTCCTGTAGAGGGGCAGTCCCGACTGAAGTGTAGGCCGAGGGGGGGATGTATCGCCCCCCAATCGCCCACTTATCGCCGATGGGGCCCGACAGGCCACCCCGCCCAGGAACGGGCGTTTTTTAATTATTATTTCTCCGGGGCGCCTCGCCGATTGCAATCAGCGACGTGTCGCCGATTACAGGTCGATGTTTCCCCCCCCCCCCCCCGGAGGTGGTTCCTCCCTCCTCCCTCCTCCCTCCCCCTCCTCCCTCCTCCCTCCTCCCTCCTCCCTCCTCCCTCCTCCCTCCCTCCTCCTCCTCCTCCTCCTCCTCCTCCTCCTCCTCCTCCTCCTCCTCCTCCTTCCCCCGAACGTTGCCCCTCATGATCGCGGACAGCATATCCAGACCTGCGCGCGCCGTGAACAAAAGCACGGCGTAAGGTTTTTGGCAGTTTTCGTTGTCTGGGGGGCTTCGTCAGGCGCCGTGACTGTCGAAAGACGACTCGGGATGAAAAGCGCGTCCTGGGGAAAGTGTCAGGACTTCCTGGGACCCCATCTGGACATCGCAGGTCCTGGTAGACATGAACTTTCTTTGTTCGATTGTAGCTAAGGCTGCACGGTGGGAGTACATCCGACGAACTGCTGTCAGTTCGACGCGTTCGACGGTGGCCCTGAGGTAGGCGGGCGGGGTGGGGATGCTGCTTTGATGCAGAGACGGCATGGGGACAGCTCGCGTCCATGGCGGTGCCGAGGTCTGCCGAGAAGATCTGCGAGGGGAACCCGGGACATTGACTGATGCAAGTAGTAGGAAGTCTGGAGAGGTTCGGTGGGTGCTGCGTCTTGGGGATGCCATTGGGGGCAGGCTTGTCTCGGCACCCGCGCTGTGCTAAAGTTGCGGAGGGTGTAGTGGGGGGCTGCCGGGTCTACAGATCCAGACAATACCATGTGTCTGCGCCTGCTGTTCAGGCCTGGACATGACGAACCCCACACGGTTTCCATTCCGTCGGCGCACTTTTCGGTATGTCGCTCTCCTCTTCCCTCCCCATCGTCTCCCCTGTTAGGCAGGCTGCGAGGGCGACTTGGCGGTTCACACCGTGAAGTCGACGCTCTGAGGCGTCAGACTGGGGAGGAGGGGATCGGTGTCAGGGGCCTCTTCGTAGAATGCCCCCCCCCCCCCCCCTTCCCTCCCAGCACAAAAGGGCGACTGGGTGATCTCCTGCCCTTCGAAAGGCAAGACCGTGCCACACGACAGCAGGCACTTCAAGTAAGGAGCTTGCCCGCCAGCGGGTCCCCCACGGAAGTTCCCCGTCCCCCGTCGGCCCTCGGGGCCCGCAGAAGCCCCGGGGCACCTCGGGGACTTCGAGTCTCGACGAGCAGTGTGGCCCAAGACCTCTCGTAGCAAGGCGCTCGCGTGACAGCTCGACGAACAGCGTGACAGCGAGGCGCTCGTGTGATCCGGAGTGAGCGGTTCATGCAGTGGCCCTCTACGCTGCCGATTTAAGCATAATTTCTTATCGCAGGTCATAATGGAGGATGACGATTGATAAATGACCGGGGGTCGTGTTCACGCGGCGGCGCCCGGGATGACGATTAGAAAAAACCGGCCGCGGGCTGGAACACTATTTTTTTAAATCGTTCTCCTCCAGTCAGTAAATTGTACAGAAATAGCAGAAAACTATTTTTTGAATCCTTATCTCAATTTTTTCTATTAATCGTCATCCCGCATTATGCTGAGGGGCCCCGGGGAGGCCCTGAGATGGCGCCACGCCCCCAGCAGGGCCGAGCCCCCCGGCACCTCACCGCGCCAGCCCCGCGCGGGCGCGGGCCTCGGGGAGAGGGCTACCTCGCCCAGCTGCTGGACGTGGGCCTGGAGGACGGCCCCGGCCCCCCCGCCCTCTCCGCTGGCGCTCCCCCCCTCTCTCGGGGGCGGAAAAGAGGGGGGTGATGACTAGGGGGGGGTGGATATCATGGCGGGGGCCATGATTTCTCCCAGATTTCATGGCGCCCCTTCTTATTTCATTACGTCCCTGGCCCCCCCGCTGGGCCGCGCACATGCCGCCGGTCATGATTTGCACCCCCCCCTCTTGGACACCCCCCTCTTGGCCGCTCCCCCCCTCTAGGGGGGAGGGGGGGGGCTCTCGAGGGCGCGGGAGAGGCCAGCGTGGCCAGGCAGGCAGCAGGCGGGGTCCGAGGGGAAGGGGGCCCCGCGTTCGTGTCCACCCTTTTCCGCTGTTTTCGGCCCTCCACGGGCCCTGGCACGGTCAAAAAAACGACTCAGGACGGAAAGCTGGTGCTGGGGGAAGGCCCTGGGTTCCAAGATCCATTCCCCTCAGGACCCGCTTCCTTCACGGCCAGAGCGGGGTAAAAACAGCTCAGAGGTTGGCCGGCACGGTCAACGAAAGGACTCAGGATGGAAAGCTGGTGCTGGGGGAAGGTCCCGGGGTCCAGGACCCGTTCCCCTCGGGACGCGCTTCCTTCACGGCCAGAGCGGGGTGTACAGCTCAGAGGTTGGGCACTGCACGCATTCGCCTGGGATCGGCGTCACCCCAACATACATAATACTCCGTGTGCGTCGCCTCGCCAGGGGCGACGCGCGCACCGAGAAATCTTGTAGGATATGCGTCGTGGCGGGCGCTTTCTGGTCACACCACTCGGGAAACGAGATATACGACAAGATGGGTATACTAAATGTTCAGCTCGGACGCGCGCGTCCAAGGAGGACATAGGGTACCAGTCTGTCTCTGTACGCCCCATGGGAGCCTCGTCGGGCGCGTGGGCGCTCGGGCCCCTGCACGTGTGCAGTGGCCGCTCCCTTGGCTAATTATCCACCCTGCCCGTGCCCTCCCGGGGTTTTCCCTGGGTGCTCTGCTCCCGCGCCCGGGCACCTCGTGGGGGCCGCGGTCACCGAGACTCCTGGCGCGGCCCGACAACTCCTCCTCCTCCTCCTCCTCCTCTTCCTCCTCCTCCTCCTCCCCTCCTCCTCCTCCCCCCTCCTCCTCCCCCTCCTCTCCTCCCTCCTCCTCCTCCTCCTCCTCCTCCTCCTCCTCCTCCTCGTCCTCCTCCTCCTCCTCCTCCTCCTCCTCCTCCTCCTCCTCCTCCTCCCCCTCCTCCCTTCGAGCTCGCATGCCCATCCCTGTCCTCACAGAGGATACGGAAGCAACGTCTGAGGGCATGAACAAAATGAGTGACAGGAGGAGGGGACGAAGGTGCAATCTGAGTCGCGGAGGGTCGCCATGGCATTCGGTGCCCAGGGAGTCTCGCGCTCATCTGGTGAGGCAAGGGGGTCGCGCGGCTGGACTGTGCAGAGGTCTACGAGCAGACGACGCGCGGGGCCGAGCAAGCAGTGCTCGCGCCAGCCAGCGATCGCGCCAGGCGCATCGCGTAGTGCGGCCTTCCCCTCGGCACTGAGGGCGCGTTGCGCTGGCAGCCTGGCCGGGAGGACTCAGCGGTCCGCGCTGGGGGGCCCAGACCTTCGCGCCAGAACCCCCCAGCAGTCTAATGCACACATAAGGCGTTCCAAACAGGGCATTGCCTTCGGGGATCGAAGGAGTTGGGATCTCTTCCTCGACATAAGGCGGCGGAAGTAAAATGGGGGCGGCTCCGCCGGCGGAAGCCAGCAAAAGGCCAGCGGAAGCCGGCGGAAGTCTCGATCGGCCTACCAAGAGGTGACGATATTTTTGGCTTCAGGGACTCCGGAACCCGCCAGGTCTTCCCCTTGGCACTGAGCTCTCGGCACGCCAGCCGCTCCGCAGCGGTCCAGAGCGGGGGGGGGTCGTGGGGGCCCTCCCCTCCTCCCCTTTTATTCGGTGCAGTTGGCCTGACCTGGGCACGGCGCCTTGGCCCTATGGGCGCGGCTTCCTGCTGCGTCACGCTCGGTCAGCGCGCGCCGGATCCTGGCCTCCGCGCCGGTCGTCCTCCGAGAGGGGCGGCTGCAGGCCTCGGGGCAGAGGTCTGGCCGCTGCAGCACTGCGAGGAGGCGGCCGCCTCGGCGCGAGGGCGCGAGGGGCCGAAGGGAGTCGCAGGGCGCGCATCGCGGGGCGCGACGCTCAGAGTGAGCCGACTGGGGAAGCTGCGCGCGAGCGCGGCGCTCCCTCCTGCGGCCTGTGCGGGCCTCCCGGGAGGCCGAGCAGTTGCGGGCCTGGCGCGGGCAGGATATGCACGGGAAGGCAGCGCGACGCGGCCGTGTGCATTTTGGCAACGTGGGAGGCGCTCATCGTTAGATCGTAGATGACGGAGGCGTCCGCTCGTCTCTTGGACTGAAGGTATACATCGGCGAATCGAGCCCACTAGCGCCAAATAGCTTTCAGCAGTTAGCGCTACATGGCGCCGAGTGGCGCTCAGTAGAGCCAAATCGCGCTCAATTGGCGCCTAGTAGCGACCAGTAGCGCGCAGTAGCGCCATGCGAGGGAAGTATATGATGTTCGCTTTGCGTGTGGGGCGTCGTCGACACTCATCGGCACGAGGTGGTCGCAACCGTGTGTCCACGACGCAGCTTCGGGGCACCGTGCAGCTGGCTCAGGCACAGCGGCGCTGGGGCCGCTGCGGGGCAGAATTGGGGTGCCGCGCGCGAGGCGGCTGTTTGCGAGCCACCTGCGGTAGATACGAGGTATCACGGCGCGAGGCAGTTGTTTTCGAACCATGCTTCATCATCATCAAAATCATCATTGCCCCAACTGGGACAGGCTAAGTCGGCTTTCCCAGCGTGCCCCCTCGATCGGTGGCGCGAAACCCGACGGAGACGGCACCCATTCCCACCTTGGGCGGGGTAGGTCGGCCATCGGGGTCAAGGTTTCCCAGGGGCGGTGGGCATTGTTTCTTTCGTCCAGGCAGGATCCAATCATGGGGCCATGGCGACGCAACTCTGAGGCCGCTGTGGTACACACGACGCGGCTCCCTGGCCACCCTCGGCAACGGCCGCTTCCAGGGCCCGGCGTTTCGGTCCCGCTGCTGTCGGAGCGGCGCTCTCCGGACTGGCCTCGGTCCACTTGGTGCCGTGGGCCACGAGCTGGCCGTCAGCAGCCTGGCGGAGGCAGAGGCTCGAAGAGACGAAGTCTGCGCCGTGCTCATATCACCCCTCGTTTAGGACGCAGCATCAGCATCAGCGCGTGTTCGAAAGCCTACCCAATCTGGCAGGATCCCGCTTAATCCGTCCCAAGCCGCCGAATCTGGCTCAGTCCTGCTTCGCCCTGGGCTCGGGTCGGGCTAATCTGGCTGGCCCCTTCATCTTGGAAACTTTTCCTTACGAAGGCCTCCCAGGAGGTTCCTCCTAACTTCGTTGCTAGGCGCGCTCCCAGCGAAGGTCCAGGGCACTCGGCTTCTTTTAGTGCCTCCTCCCGCGCCGCTGGATAACAAAACACATGACCACCGCTGAAGACAGCACCACCAGCAGTACCAATACCAGCATCACCAGACTTAATCGTCATCGTCCTCAGCATCATCATCCTGGCATGACGGTCGCGGAGCGGGCAACCATCACGGGTGCGCGACCCAGCGTCTCGACGCGGCAGTGGCGCAGGAGGCTCGACTGCCCGTCCTCGCCGTGGCGCGGGCGGACGTCGCGCTGCTTTGCCCGGGCCGCCGCGCCGCCGACGCGGCGCTGTCCGCCGCGCTGGTGCCGCCGGCGGGGCTGCGGGTCGCCCGCGGCACGGCCACGCTCTGAGACCGCGGCGGCACAGGATGAGCGGAGCGTCGGCGTTGGCAGTGGTGGTAATCGGCATCGGACTCATCATCATCATCATCATCATCATCATCATCATCATCATCATCATCATCATCATCATCATCATCATCATCATCACCATCATCGTCATCATCTTCATCGGCATCACCATCGTCATCATCGTCATCATCGTCATCATCACCATCAGCATCACCATTTGCAGCATCATCGTCACTATCGCTATCGCCATCAGCATCACCATCACCATCACCATCCTTACTATCACCATCAAACGCATCATCATGATCATTATCATCATCATCACGAACGTCATCATCATCGTCATCATCATTGCCGTCATCATCACCATAGCCATGAACATCATCACCAGCACCATCACCATCATTACATGTTTCATTATCATCATGCTCATCATCGCCAGCATCAGCAACAATACCATAACCATCATTATCAACATCATCGTCATTATCATCGTCATCACCATCATAATCATCATCACCATCATCATCACCACCAACATCATCATCATCATCAGCATAATCATCATCACCATCATCATATTTTGCGCTAGCATCTCATCACCATCACCATCATCATCACCACCATTACCATCAGCACTATCAGCAGTATAGTCATCATCACTGTCATCATTGCCACCGTCATCATCATCATCACCATCATCATCATCATCACCATCCGTATCATCATCATCATCATCATCATCATCATCATCATTATCATCATCATCATCACCGAGCACCATCATCACCATCATAACCATCGCCATCACCACCCTCATCACCACCACCACCATCACTATCAGCATCAGCTTCATTACCAGCATCAGCTTCTTCATTCTTCTTCTTCATCATCGTCATCGTCATCACCATCACCATTACCACCACCATCATCATCATCACCACCATCACCATCATCAGCATCACCATCATCATCATCATCATCATCATCATCATCATCATCATTATCATCATCACCATCATCATCATCATCATCATCATCATCATCATCATCATCATCATCACCGCCATCACCATCATCAGCATCACCATCATCAACATCATCAACATCACCATCTTCGCTCGGCGCCTCCTTCTGTACCGCCGCCCACTCCCAAACCGCAGGGCCGCGGCCGTGTGGCCGCCGTGGGCGAGTGCGGGCTCGACTATGACCGGCTGCACTTCTGCCCACGTCGCCCGGCCGCGGGCGAGCTGTCGGCGCGCCGGAGCGGTCGGGGGCAGGCCCGCAGAAACCGTGGGGGTCAGGGGCAATGCTGTGGGGGGATAGACTCAGGGGGGACCCTGAGATCCTGGCGTCGTCATCTTGATTTTTTGAGGGGGGAGATATCGCATAGTTTCGGGCCCTGGGACCCTGACAGGTCAATGCGGCTTGAACAAAGCAGCAGAAAGATGAGGTCAGGGGCAACGCTGGGGGGGGGATAGGCTTAGGGGGGACCCTGAGATCCTGGCGCCGTCTTTTTGATTCTCCCGGAAAGGGCCTCAGGGCTTGCTTTTGGTTGGTAAACCTGTCTCTGGTGCAAAGTTCGCGTGGTGCCGACATATTTCCGCTCAATATTAAAACGAGGTGAAGTGTTTTTTTGCTTAAGCAAATGTGTTTCGCGCGTGCCCGCTCGAGGACAGTACGCCCCCTGTTTCGGATTCTCACAAAATAATGGGAGCCCCAGACTCCCTTTTTCCTCAGTGGAAAAGAGGGTGCAAAGCGTTTTGCGCCGAATCCACGATAGATAACGAGGTCTGGTGGCCATGGGATTTTGCAGAGAATTAGCAACTGTTGATTTTTTTGGGACCCGCCCGAGGATGGCGCGTCCTGCGCGAAACAAATTGTCTCCAGCGAAAAGATTATAATGCAAAACCTGTGGGACTTCGGCGCTATAGGATTCCCAGGTGGTTTTGGTAATGCGAAAGCGCGTGAACACACATGGCTTCCTAACACCCCAGAGCGGGACAAGCGTGAAAACACGTGGTATCTTAACGCCCCAGAGCGGGACGAGCGTGAGAACACATAGTTTCCTAACGCCTCAGTGCGTGTCAAGCGTTACAACACGTGGGTTCTTAACGTCCCACATCGGGATAAGCGTGAAAAGAGTTGGGTTGCTGAGGCCGCAGAGCGGGACAAGCGTGAAATCACATGGGCTCCTAACGCCCCAGAGCGGGACAAGCGTGAATTCATATAGTTCCTAGCGCCCCAGGGCGGGACAAGCGGGAGAACACTTCGGTTCCTAACGCCCCAGAGCGGGACTGTAGTGAAAACACGTTGGTCCCTAACGCCCCAGAGCGGGACAAAAGTGAAAACATATTGGTTTCTAACGTCCCCGAGTGGGACAAGCGTGAAAAAAGTTGGTTCCTATCGCTCCAGAACGGGACAAGGGTCAAACCATATGGATTCCTAACGCCCCAGAGCGAGACAAGCGTGAAACACTGGGGACCTATGGCGAAGGGCCTTCCTGAGGACTGCAGATTGCATTTTCGTGGGGAAGAACAAGTCGATCTTCAAAGCGGGTCAGGAAGGCAGGTGGGTGATAAGACTAGTAAGAAGAAGGAGGAGTAGGTATCTCTATCTCAGGTCTTTTCTTGTTCTCGCTCTCTCTCTATATACGTATGACAAGTCAAAGCCAAACAACGATAACAACAAGGAACGCGAGCAGTCTCAACGGTCTTTGAGCGGTCCTGCGCGAGCAGTCCCGACGGTCCTTGAGATGTCCCGAACGGCCCTGCGCGAGCAGTCCCGATTACAACGAGACCTCGAAAGGAACACAGCAGCGCTGATTGCTTCAGCTCTGCAGGCGCTAAGGCGAGAGTCCCATTGCCCCCCTTGATAAACATGAAGCCCCCCCCCCCCCCAGACCGACTGTTCTGCACCTCCGTGCGTTCCCAGCCGACCAGTCGAGCCGAAGGTTCTGCGACGACGACGACGACCAACACGACCACGAGGACAACGGCAAGAATGGGCGTGCGTGCCGTCTCAGCCGAATTGCCGAGCCGACGATCCTGCTCCACGGCGCTCCCCATCCAGGAACCGAGCGGATTCAGCGCACGCGGCAGGAGCCCCTCCCCCCTCGCCCTCCTGATGCTCCGCCTCCTCTTCCTCCTCCTCCTCCTCGTCCTTCCTCCTCCTCCTCCCTCCTCCCTCCTCCCTCCTCCCTCCTCCTCCTCCTCCCCCTCCTCCTCCTCCTCCTCCTCCTCCTCGTCCCTCCTCCCTCCTCCCTCGTCCCTCGTCCCTCCTCCCTCCTCTCTCATCCTCCTCCTCCCCCCCCAGAATGTGGGCGGCGCTGAGGCGAGAGTCCCATTTTGGAAAAGAACACGACTCGAAACGACAAGCCGATTTTGGGAAAAGGGTCGGGACTCCCAGAGTTGGGGGGGCATGCGGCATACTGCACAACATATGGCATCGCATGTCTGGGCTCAGGGGGATCGGATGTTCGAGTGTCGAGGTTATCGGGCATTTTAGTTGGTGTTTGGCGGTTTACCGGTTTTGTGATACCTTCCAGCGGTTGCGCTTTCCGTGAGTGTGTGGATCGTCCCGAAAGGCCGCTGGAGAACGGAGATATGGCACGACAGCCAGGGGCAACGTGAGGAGGGGATCTGCTCAGGGGGGTGCATTGATCCCCAATCGCCCGTTCATTGCGGATGGAGGCCTTATAGCCACCCCGACCAGGAACGTGCACATACGCCGTCGGGGGCTTGCCGGCGATGTATCGCCGATCCCAGGTCGATGCTTCCCGAGCAGGTTGTCCCCCCGTAACCAACGCTCCCTCTCACTGCAGGGGTCCCAGCGCGATCGCAAGAGCGGTATCCTCGCCTGGCTTGGTCTGGGGTGGGCCGCGGTGGCTGTGCATCCAGGCCGTTCCAGGGCTTTTTCCTGTGCGAGCCAGAGGCTTCTCCCCCCCATCCTGCTCCCTACCGTCTTCTCGCTCTGCCTCCTCCTCCTCCTCCTCCTCCTCCTCCTCCTCCTCCTCCTCCTCTCCACCTCCTAAGCCCCCCGCTCCTCGTTGTCGTCCTCTTCCCTGCGCTCCTCCCCTCTTTCTCCTCCTGGCGAGGGCAGCTCCTCAACCAGTGCCGTCCAGCCGCCAGGACTGGACGGCTCCACCCTGCCAGGCTGGCCGAAGAGCTGGCGGTGCGACCCCCAGGGGGGCACCGCAGCCGCCAGCCAGGAAGCCAGCGGCCAGCTGGCCCAGCACTCTGCAGCTCTGCGCCTCGCCTTACGATTAGAGTAGGAGATCGACTACATGATTGATTCACCTCGAAATTCTTTTTAGTTGAACCTCAACAGCAATACGTGGAATGCTCCGTCGATTCACTGACCATTTTGCGCATTCTCATGGGTCCGACGAGAAGAACAAGTCTGGGGTAAACGAATTCCATAGTCGATCACCTGCGGGAGCAATCTCAGCCTCGCGCAGAAGGGGGGCTAGGGGGAGGGGGAGAGGCTTCTTACAATCACCCATGCTTCTTAGAAGGCGGGGCCTTATCTATAGGCGTACGGCCAGCGCCTTTTAAGAAGCAGCCTCCTTCTACGAAGCCTTCCCCCTCCCTCCACCCCCCCTGTTCTGGCCGCCAGCGATACGCTCTTTTTCATCCTCCTCACCCCTGCGCCCAGCAGTTTTCTCAATGGGAGTGTTTAGCGGCGCCGTCGCCGCTCTCTCTCTCTCTCTCTCTCTCTTTCGCGCATGATGCTCCCCACTCGCAGCCTGACAGCGTCGGTATGGCATGTTTTTTGTCTGTTGGGAGGATGTCGGTCCTTCAAGGCGCTCCCGCTATAGTGTTGGTCGCACTGCCAGGTCTAAGCAGTCCTCCCGTCGTTCCGAACGGTACTCTCGCCCCAGCGCGGGCCGCCCTTCTGGATCCGGGTCCTTCGCGTCATTGCCACCCCCTCCTTTTTTCTCTCTCCTCTGCCTCCCCCCTGTCCTCCTCCTCCTCCTCCTCCATTTCATGTGACTCGTCCTCAGGCTCATTGGCTACTTCCTCCTCCTCTTCTCCTCATCTTATGACTCCCCCCGCTCTGTTTGCGCATCACGCGATGGGGTCATTTGGGGGACCCAGTTCCGCTAGGATATCACAATCGGCGGATACAAACTAATTCATGGCAGTGGGAAGGGATGGTCGGAGATGGGTGGACTTTCAGATTCTGTGTGAGCGCACCCAGCTTGCTATTCTCCCCACCTTCTCTATCCTCATCTTTGTTGTCGTCGTACTAATTATCGTCCTTCGCGTCTTCTTTATCTTCTCATTGTTCTTTCTCTTCTTCGCCTTCTCCCTCCTCCTCCTCCTCCTCCTCCTTCTCCTCCATCTCTCTCCGCCTCTTCCTCGTCCTCCTGATCGCGTTGTCTGCCTTATCCTTTTCCTCCTGCTTTGTTATGCTCCCGCTTCCCCCCTGGTTTGCTTCCCCCATCCCTGCCCAGGGTCCTCTTAGCTGCAACCTATCCTACGTGTCCGCATCGGCGCGTATACCACCTCCCTCCGCTCCCACCTTCCTCCTCCTCTGCCTCCTCCCGCTCACTCTCCCCATGCGTGCTGGGGTGTCGGACAAGCTTCTCCCGCGCTGCCGGCAACAGCAGCTGTCTCGCGAAAGGTTGCCCCATCTTGTGGCCCCACTGCCTCCGCTCCTGCTCCTCCCGCACTCCCCTTCTCGCCTCCCACGTGCTGTCCGCCCCAACATCCCGCCTGTCCTGCTCCTGCTGCTGCTGCTGCTCCTCCTCCTCCTGTTCCTCCTCGTCCTCTTCCTCCTTCTCGTCTTTCTCTTCCGGCCGTCAGAGGCGGCGTGCGGTCCTAGCTCGGCTCTCCCATTTGGTCTGAACTCATGGTGGAGTGTCGAAGATGTTCCGCTAGGGGTTGGACGTGGCATGTTTGAACAATTCACAAGTCGTGCGCCCTTCAGGCAGTTGCTTGTAGCCTCCCCAGACGTGCGGCTGGCCTTGGCAATCGCAGGAACACCGGCATCCGGTGCTGGATCTCATTTTAGGCTCATTCTTATTTCCAGGAAGCTCCATTTCAAGTCGATCGCTGGCAACTCGAAACTTGGCCTCTGGTCTTATCCGGAGAATCGTTTGGTTTGCATAAGCTCGTACGGGTGCAGGGACAACGTCGAAGCCTGTGCTGTGTCTCTCGTCGACTGCGTGTTGGGCGATCGTTCGAGCCCCCCTCGTAGCCACGGCTAGACCTGCGAGGGCTCCTCCTCCTCCTCCTCCTCCTCCTCCTCCTCCTCATCCTCATCATCATCATCATCATCATCATCATCATCATCATCATCATCATCATCATCATCATCATCATCATCATCATCATCATCATCATCATCATCATCATCATCGCTTCTCCTCCTCCTCCTCCACCTCCTCCTCCTCCTCCTCCCCCTCCTCCTCCTCCTCCTCCTCCTCCTCCTCCTCCTCCTCCCTCATGAAGCCTCTTCAGAGTCAAGCGGATCTGTAGGTCAAACGAGGATGTGGGCTCGGCCAGGCGCCGAGTTGAAGGCGGCTGCTGTAGGATTCCTCTTTGCAGAGTTGCCCAGACAATGTTTTTGGTACGGCAGGAATGTCAAATGTGAAGTTGGCCTGCTAGCAGGTGCCCCACGGAACTGTCTGATCCACCGATTGGCCCAGGGACCCGTAGAAGCTGTGAACAGCGCGGGACCCTCAAAGATGGACGAATGGTGTGCCCGATAGTTCTTGCAGCAGGATTTCTCATCGGATGTGTCTACTGTGCCTCGGGGCCCAGCAGATGCAGTCCAGCCCCGACAGGGAAACCGTACTCTCCATCGCCCCAGCACATACCTTCACGCTATTCTGCACTGCCCCTGGCCACGCGTCCGTCGACTGCGGACGCACTGGCGCCGACTTCGATCAGCGCGATGGGCTCGGCCTGGTCGCGCGCTCGGCCTGGCTTGGCTGGGTGGCTGGCATTGCGATCGAGGTTTCGATCGGGACACGTGCCCGAACCCCCGTGCCTAAAAGCAACGGCGCTGGGGCTCAGAGGACGTCGGGACATTTCCGAGGTCAGAAGAATTTGGAACGCCTGCGGCCCCTCCGATCGGCTATTTCTTGCCGATAGCTCCACCAGTACGCCAGAATTCTGGCCCGCGCTTGGTCATACAGACACTTAGTGGTTCCGACCTCTGCCGTGAAGAAGGCCACGACATCAGAGGAGCTCGCTCCGGAGCTCTCGACTCCCAGGGCCTTGTCTGGGAATTCCCTGGTGGGTGAACGTCCAAGGGCCCCAGTCCCGAAGCGTGGCCCCCCTGAGGCCAAAACTGAAAGCAGCCGCCGTGATGTTCTCGTCATGCTGTGCTACGCGCACTGAGTTGATCTGCGAGGGCCCCGCGGGGCCCACACCCAGAGCAGCCGCTTGGCTTGATTGCTTCGCGATGCCAGAGAGTGGGAGGATCGACCTTCACGCGGCGAAGGGCCGGCATCTCTAGCGTTTGCTTGCCGAGTCGCCGAGTGTGGGCCCCTGGTCTATCGCCGTGCCCCGGATTGCCCTCGGCGCAGCGACGCCAGGGGACGTGCAGCTGAAGTACTTCGAGCTGCAGGAGTGGCGGGGGATCCTCCGATCTTTGTCCGGTTCACCGATATCCTTCTGCAGCGTCTCCGGCTTACTGCAAGGGGTTTGGCCTGGGGCCGCTTGCATCCGGTGTGCGCCTTGCCGGGATATTTCTGGGGGCGCTGATGCCATCCCAAAAGGTCTTTGTTGAGGCGCGAGCTCCGGTCATCGAGCGCGGTGCCGTCAGCATCCTCCCGACTTGCTTTCCTTGTCGAGCCCAGGATGGGCCTGGCCAGGATCGGTGTAGGTGTACAGCTGGCGCCCCGCAGATCCCGATTGAGCCTCATCTTGGACGCCGGCTGGGGTTAGTTCGGGAACCGACGGACCCTCAGAGATTTCTAGCTGTCCAAAGGATCGTGCTGGGCTTTTATCTTTACAACTCGATCAGACATTTGTCTGTAATTGACAATGTTATTATATATATATATGCACGCTCGTGCTGCTCGATCTCAGCTCTTACAGCAGGCTGAGGTTGAGGCATGATGACCTACGAACCCCCTTTGGATACGTTCGAGGTGTGCAGCTGGCGCCCTCCGAAGGCAAGAGCTGCTGGAGGAGACGTCAGACAGCGGAAGTGCGCGGGGGCCCACACGACACTCTCTGGGTGCCCTGCGGTGGTGGCACGGCGAGGGCCCTCGCGCCCCGTCTTCCCATGGTCTCCGATACCGAGCTCGTCGACCCCTGATCGGGCGAGTCCTCGGGGGCCCCGCGAGCAGAAGGAGGAGGAGGAGGAAGAGGAGGAGGAGGAGGAGGAGGAGGAGGAGGAGGAGGAGGAGAAGGAGGAGGATCGGGGAAGAGGAGGAGGAGGAGGAGGGGGGGGGAGGAGGAGAAGGGCGAGGCGGAGGGGTGAAGGTGGCAGCCGGCCAGCAGCTGGGGGGGACAGCGGGCAGGAATCAGGAGAGTTGGCGGTGGAGGAGTCGTAGAATGAGAATGAGGATGTGAATTTGGCGCAGGAAGATGAGGCGCATGAGCAGACAGAAGAGGAGGGGGGGAGGTAGATGGCGATGATGACGAGAAGAGGAGGGGGGGGAGGAGGAGATGGAAGAAAGGCAGGGGGAAGAAGCGAATAGGGATTCTGGTTATGATGGTGATGATTGTTGGTGATAGATTGAAACGATGGGGATGGCGATGACTGCGATGTCGACGATGATGACGATGCCGACGTCGATGTCGATGGTGACGGTCATGGTGATGGTGATGGCGCTGATGTCGGCAATGCTAATATCAATGATGATGCCGACGCCGACATCGACGACGATGATGAAGATAATGATGATGACGCCATGTGCGATGGTACTTTTGACAACGACAACGATGATGACGCTGATTTTGATCTTGCTGATGATGAGCGCATGATGATGACGAAAATGATGACGACGACAATGATGTTGCAGATGAGGATGCTGATGATTTTACTGATGATGCTTATGACTAGGATGATGATGACGAATATTACGATTCTTACGCTGATGATGAGGATGCTGATGCTGATGCTGATGCTGATGATGGTGCTGCTGATGATGGTAATACTGCTGATGCTGATGCTGATGCTGATGCTGCTGCTGATGATGATGCTGATGCTGATGCTGATGCTGATGCTGATGCTGACGTTGCTGCTGATGCTGCTGAGGATGATGAGGAAGATGATGATGATGATGATGATGATGATGATGATGATGATGATGATGATGATGATGATGATGATGATGATGATGCTGATGCTGATGATGATGATGATGATGATGATGATGATGATGATGATGATGATGATGATGCTGATGCTGATGATGATGCTGCTGCTGCTGATGATGATGATGCTGATGATGCTGATGCTGATGCTGCTGCTGCTGATGATGATGATGATGATGATGATGCTGATGATGATGATGATGATGAGGATGATGATGATGATGATGATGATGATGATGATGATGATGATGATGATGATGATGATGAGGAGGAGGAGGAGGAGGAGGAGGAGGAGGAGGAGGACGATGATGGTGGTGGTGGTGGTGGTCATGATGATCGCGCGCGCGGTCAAGGCAATGTGCAGGGCCGAACTGAGGTTCCCCCCCCCCCCGAGCCGCTCCTCCGAGACGTGCCGCAGCACACCGCAGAGGGCGGCAAGCGGGAGCGCGGACCCAGGCCTCGTGTGGAGGCGGAACTCGAGAGCGCGTGGCCGCCGCCAGAGGCCGTCGGGACGGGTGCAGATCGCACGTCTGCAGGCTGTCGCTCGCCCTCGGGTGGCCCTCCCCGGTGCCCCGCAGATCGAGGGGGTTTCTTGGTGCGATATCTGCAGGCGATGCGGCGCAGCTTCGGCCCCGTCGCCCGCGACGGCCTCACACTTCCAGCAGGACGGCCCGCGACGGACCTCCGTGCGGCCGTAGATAGCCGATGGGAACGGGGAACCGATGATTCCATCACTGCGCTCACTCCGCCAGCCCATACTGCCAGTACAGCCTCATTGCGGGCACTTGTCTGTGTTCGCGGGGGCTGAGAAGGTGGTGGGTGGCGGTCGTTTCCCTGAGCCGTCGCGTGAACTTCGCTTGGGCGAGACACAGTGGCACAGTGGCTGCAAGGCAACGCTCAATGGGGCACGCCCCCCACCGAAGTTCCTTTTGTGCATCCCGCCACGGTGCCTGGCTCGTGGGTCAGAGTCTTGTTGGATGCCTCTCGGGTTCCCTTGGAATGCCCCACGGGGGGCCCTAATGCCTTTCTGGGGTGGGTCTTTGTGAGCCTCTTGGGGGCTTTTTTGGGGGTCTATTGCAGTATATTTGAAGCTTCTGGGGGGATCTTGGGGACTGCTGGCTGCCTCGGAGGCCTTTGTAGGGGCCTCTGGGGCCGTCTTGGAGCGATCTCTGGGGCCTCTTGGGCCGCCTTGGGTTTTCGGAAGCGTGGGGGCTTGCCAGCGAAATTCTCATAATTCAAAAACGCATTAACGTAAGTGTCGGCTGTCTTGGGGACCTCTCGGGCCGCCTTGAGGCCATCTCGGAACCCTCTTCGGTCGTCTCGGGGCCGTTGGAGCTCCCCTGGGGCGCTTCTGGGGCTTTATTGGGAGCCCTGAAGCCCGCGCCTGGGAGATCCGGCATCTCTGACTGGACCTTCTGGGGACCTTGCTGGGACTTGGTCGGCGTACTCTTCCTCCGGGGGGCTCCCAGGGGTCGCCCCACGCGTGCGAACTAGTAATAATCCACAAATGTTCTGACCTCTTTCTGGTGATTCTGGCACGCCTTTGGCCCGTTGAGCCGGCGAATTCTACCGCCCAGGGCTGCCACCTTCCCCGCCTCCGTGAGGTGGTGCAGGGCAAGGAGACGACGCGCGGATGCACATTCTCGGCGCCAGTGAGATGCGCACGCTTCGCGGCTTGGCCCTTGTAGGTACGTCCGCCGCGGTCGAACTTGCACCACCGCTGGGAGCTCCCGAGGCGCTTGTGAAGAAGGACCCGCTCGGATGGGAGCGGAGGATCGACGCCCGAGGCTTCTTGCAGCGGTGCCAGAGGGGCCCGATGGCGGGGCGAAGGAGCGAAGCCTGAGGCTCCAGGCAGCGGTGCCAGAGGGGCCCGATGGCTCCTGGGACCCGCTCGCCGCCGCGGCAGGGAAATTGGTCGACAGGGCGACCCCTGCTGCGAGGCCCCGATCCGGAGGCGGCCCACTCTGCCGACCCCCCCTCCTGCACAACCCCCCCCGGGCCCAAGCGATCCCTTCGGGCGAGGCCAGGTGGGTGGCGGGGGGGCAGGCGACCCAGCCTCTTCGAGCAACCCCGGCCCCTGTGCTACAGGTGGCGCGCGGTCCAGATGTGCTACGATCGAGAACTTTGGCTCAGCGCGTCGCTCTGCCCATTCCGACCACCCTTGCCTCGGCGCGACACGAGATCCACGTCCCAGTCCCCAGGCATCAACGTCCCAAGCCTTCCCCGGTCTCCCGCCCCGCGGAGTGGAGCGACGCGCTAACCCCTCGCAGGGCAGGGCGTGCCGCAGAGCGTCTCGCCGGGGCCGCCACCGCGACGCGCTAAACAACAAGAGTTCCCGACCGCAAAAGCTGGTAGCCCGACTGCGCAGCTTTGCTTCGCGCACGCACGGCCCCCACAGCCTGCTCCGCCCCGCAGCACGGCCCTGGGTGTTCCTTCAGCCGGCACCCGGCCGAGGCATGCTAAAAACTGGTAGGCCAACTGCGCAGCTCTGCTTCGCGCGCGCACGGGCCCCAGAGCCTGCTCCGCGAGGGCCCCGGGGCAGCGCTACTGTGCCAGCCGACTGCATAAGACCACCGAACGCGAGCCGACCGACTTCCTCCAGGCGCCCAAAGTCAATGCCTGGCGCCTGGGGTGCCTGACACGCGTGCCAGTGCACAGAGACGCGCACGCGTACGCACGAGCATCGCCGTAACGGCACGCTGACTTGGTTTGAAAAAGCATAGAAAATGCCGTAACAGCAGGCCCGCCTTGGAACTTGCCTGCAAGCCTTCCGTTCATCACACTGTCGAGAGCTAGCTCACGGCCGTGGCCGCTCAGTCGAACTTGAACGGGTACTCGAGGGTGTGGGGGACACCGACGTCAGACTGGGGCGCGGCGGCTGTAGCTGCGGCGCCTTGTCCTGCTGCGGCTTCGGTTCCTTGTCCACGCTGCCGGTCGTGCGGCGCTGGAAGCGTGTGTTGAATGCGTCCAGCTTGTCGCCGACCCTCCTCGACCCGGTAGTGCACGGTTCCTGCTCCTCGCTCACGTGGCCGACGGAGTTGGAGTTCCCGCATTTCTGCACCTCGTCGCACTTCCCATGCTGGCGGCCTGGCGGTGCCAAGGCCGGGCGCTGGTTCGCGTAGGACTTGATGTTGCCGTCCTCATGCACCCCATCCCAATTCCCATGCTGGCCCCTCGGGGCCCCTCCCTGGTTCGTGCAGGAGAGGTACCTGCCGTATTTCTTCGCTTCTTCCCAATTGTCATGCTGACCACTCGGGGCCCCGCCCTGGTTCGCGTAGGACTGGTAGACGATGTACGTGTGGTCACCTTGATCCAGGCAGCCTGCACCTATTAGGGCTGCATCCCTGACATTGCGATGCTCTGCAACGGCGGGGTCCACACTCCCGGCGGCTTTGACGGTGACCTCGAGGAAGAGGAGGAGGGTGCATTAGTAGGGGGAGGAGGAGGAGGAGAGGACGGAGGAGGAGAAGAAGGAAGGAGGAGGAGGACGAGGAGGAGGAGGAGGAGGAGGAGGAGGAGGAGGAGAAGGCAGGAAGACAATGAGGAGGGGGATGAGGATGAGGATGAGGATGAGGATGAGGATGAGGATGATGATGCTGATGATGATGATGATGATGATGATGATGATGAGGATGAGGATGAGGATGAGGATGAGGATGACGACGCTGATGATGATGCTGATGATGACGACGATGATGATGCTGCTGATGATTACGATGATGATAAGGAGGAGGATGAGGAGGATGATGAGGAGGAGGAGGAGGAGGAGGAGGAGAAGGCAGGAAGACGATGAGGAGGGGGAGGAGGATGAGGATGAGGATGATGAGGATGATGATGACGATGACGATGATGATGCTGCTGCGATGGTGATGACGACGATGATAATGATGAGTATGATGCTGATGGTGATTTATGATGCTGCTGATGAGGAGGAGGAGGGGGATGAGGATGAGGATGAGGATGAGGATGAGGATGATGATGACGATGATGATGATGCTGCTGCGATGATGATGATGACGATGATGATGCTGATGCTGATGACGATGATGATGACGACGATGCTGATGATGCTGATGATGCTGATGATGCTGATGATGATGCTGATGATGATGATGCTGCTGCTGATGATGTCGATGATGCTGATGATGATGCTGATGATGCTGCTGATGATGCTGATGATGCTGATGATGCTGATGATGATGATGCTGATGATGGTGATGATGCTACTGCTGCTGCTGATGATGATGATGCTGATGATGATGATGATGATGATGATGATGATGCTGATGATGATGATGATGATGATGATGATGATGATGATGATGATGATGATGATGATGATGATGACGATGACGATGACGATGGTGGTGGTGATGATGATGAGGATGAGGAGGAGGGGGAGGAGGGGGAGGAGTGGGAGGAGGAGGAGGAGGAGGAGGAGGAGGAGGAGGAGGAGGAGGAGGAGGAGGAGGGGGCAGGAGGAGAGGTAGGAGCAAGATGGTGCTGTTTGTGGCCGGCGGCCTGCGCTTTATCACTCATGCCGCTTTACAGATATTTTCGCTTCAAGGCCAGCTCCAACATGCATTCTGCTAGCTCCTCCCGAGAGCGAGCGCTGCAGTGCCCACGCGGGCCATGGGCCTTCCTGCGCGAACGTGGAAGCCCGCGCTCGCACACAGTGCGCGTGAGGATGCCACCGTGGGAAAGGCGTGAACCTTCCCGAGATACCTCTCTTCGAAGAGAGGTATCTCGGTGATGCCGGTCGGCGGGAGGAAGATCTTCCTCCCGCCGACCGGCATCACCGAGACATACTTCTAGTGTGTGTGCGTCGCCCCCCCCCCCCCACGGGCGGCGCACGCGCTCAGAGCTCCTAGAGAAAATGCTCTCGGCGGCTGGCGCTCTCTGGCCACACCGCCTGGGTTCAACGCTATTGCAGACCGGCTCGGACGTGGGCGCCCAAGGGGGCGCACAGCACCCTGTCTGTGCTCCTGTGACCCAGCCGACGTTCCCGCTCGTGCTGCACCCCTCGCTTCCCTCCCCGCTCCAGTCGGGGAGACGTAAAGCCTCGAGTGCGCGGGACCTCGGAGCTGCCGGCGCTTCTTGGCGGGCCGGGCCTGGATTCTGACGGCCCGGTGCTCGTGGGATGTCTGCAGCGGGAGCTCGCCTCAGATCTCCAGGGTGGGCCGTCGTCATAATTCCCGACGGCCCCGCCAGGCCAACCCGAGTCCCCCGCACCCGAGTCTTCCGTCTCCCCGACCCGAGAAGGGGCCAGGTGGCCAGCCTCGCCCCGCAGCTGGGGCTGCCGTTCTTCCTGCACTGCCGCACCTCGGAGGCGCCCTCCGCCGGGGCCCCCGCCTCCTCGGCGCCTCCTCGGAGCGGGCGGCGCCGTGCGCGCGCGGGGGAGCGCCGAACGTCGGAGGAGGGCGCGCGGAGGCAGGGGGGCACCGTGAGAGGGGGGGGGGGAGGTTTCGGGCTCGAGGTGCGCCGAGGGCCTCGAGGCTTGCCGGCGTTTTCGTCGGCGCTCGGCGCTTGGCCGGCCTGGGGATGCTCTCCAGCAGGCGCGCCTCGCCGAGAGCGCTCCAGGGGGGGAGGCGTCGGCACCGCCCCGCGAGCGGCCGCCCAGGAGCCGAGCCGGGGCCAGGAGGCAGGAGGGCGGCGGGGCGAGACAGCGGCAGTTGGCCTTCGCTTCGCGGGGGGCCCCCTCGTCGCGCCGCGGCTGGGCGCAGCTCGGGGAGCTGGTGAAGGTCGGACCTCGGGAGGGGCTCGGGGACCTCCTCGGAGCCGCTGTCTTCGGACGGGGCTAGGGCGAGGACGCGTCCGTTCCAGAGCGTTCCGGGACGCTCCCAGAGCGTTTCGGAACGCTCAGGGGAGGCCGCGGCGCCGGGGACATCCTGCAGAGAGCCGCTGGCACTCGGATATGTTCGATCCATTCACACCCGACTTTGTCCTCGTGCTGGCCTCGTCTTCTGTCGCAGGTCGCCCTGCTGCGAGAATCGCACCTGTCCTCGCGCCGGCCGTGTCGGTGCATCTTGTTTGGGGGCTCTCGTCTCGGAGGGGGAGGATGATGGGCTTGTTTTCCACCACCACCACCATACATTGGAGGGGGAGGGGGTCCTCCTCCTCCTCCTCCTCCTCCTCCTCCTCGTCCTTCTCCTCCCCCTCCTCCTTCTCCTCCTCCTCCCTTCTCGAACTATTGGTGGTGGTGGTGGTGGTGGGAAAACAGGCCCATCAGAGGAGGGGCCAGTGCCGCTGCCCGTCCCCCGCCACCACGGCTTGGTTACGGCCTCGAGGCCGTGGTCGGAAAGAGTTTTGTGATAAGAAACCCTCCCCTCTCCCCCTACCCCCGTCTGCGCGCCGCCAAGTAGTAGTGGCAAGGTATCTCGTTGCTCCCCCACTACAGTCAGAGCGCAGAGTGAGGATGAGCAACTTTCCAAGGTTACCCTTGCATCCTTGCCCCTCCGGCCCATCCTTGGCAACTTTTGCTGGCCACACCCGTTCGAAAAAAAACGTCAACATGGCCTTCCACGGCCCTTGTATCCTTACCGCGCATCCTTCGTATGCGTTTTGTGGTTGCATGCACGAGCAGCTCTCGCTAGGCAGTGGCGCATGGAAGTCGATGGAGAGTGAACGCCGTCTCTTCCACTGTCTGTCGAACTGACCTGTCACTTGCCTTGCTAGACCACGGCAAGCGGAAGACGGGGCGCATATTGCAATGGAAGCAGCCTGCTGCAGCTAAGCAGCATACTCGAACGAAGACGAGTGCGCGCTCGGTCTCTCCATGACTCGGCAAGCGTGCGCCGTTCAGTCAGGCAGTCATGCAGCGTGTTGACTTCGAGTGGCGCGTGCGGGCACGGGCCGCAAGAGCGCCTTGCTACATTTACCGAGGCGGCCCAGGACCTGCTCGGACTGCTCGAGAAGCATCGGGCGGTACTGCCATCGCCTCCAGGCGGCCAGGGGTCAGGGCTCGGATGCGCTTTTTCTGCTCGCTTGTGAGACAAGGTTGTCACTTCTGGGCGGCCGTACCCCTCGCCGCGACGGCCAGATTCTGCTCGACTGGTCGATCAGTGTGTCGTGGCGATGCCTGGGAGGCGTTCGTGGGCCGACTTGGAATCATGTGACGTGTGGTCCTGACAGTAGTCGATCGGGTTGGCGATTGAGAGTGCGTTCCTGTTTGGACGCTCCAGCTGGGAAGGTGTGCTTCGTACTTCACGTGAGTGTGGCTGTGCTCGTGCTGCACTGCGGTGAGCACTGTGCTGTAGGGCTTATGAGAGTATGTGTGCGTGTGCATCGAAGCGTCTCCCGGCCCCGGCTTTTGCATGTTGTTTGGCAAGCGCGATGTCTGATGGAGAAAGAAGCGGAGGACGATATCAATACATCATGCCAGGGCGTTGACCCCAAACATTTGATTCGTTATATCGCGTTTGTGGAGCTTGGTGATTGAAACCCCTATCTGTGTGGCACGGTGTGTGCGTGTGATTGTGTGCGATCCTGTAACTGCCAGGGGCTACCCCGCAGCCTGGCCGCCCCGTGCGCCTCCCCGCGGCCCCGCCGTGTGAGTGCGCCCTCCTCCTCCTGCCTCTGCGGCCGTGTCCCTTCCTCTTCCCCTTCTCCTCCTGCACGCAGGGCAACTCGCAACGCCGTAGCCTGGGTTGCTCGGACGCGCGAGCGGATCGCCTCTGCCGCGCCGCGACGGAAAAGTGTGACCCTGTATTTGTGGAGGCCTCCGTATGGATCTATCTGTGCAGTGTGCAAGCCTGTGTGTGGATGTCCGTGCGCATGCATGTGTGTGTGTGTGTGTGCGTGTGTGTGTGTGTGTGTGTGTGTGTGTGTGTGTGTGTGTGTGTGTGTGTGTGTGCGTACGTGTGTGCGTACGTGTGTGCGTGCGTGCGTGCGTGCGCGCGCGCGTGTGTGTGTGTGTGTGTTTGAATGTGTGCGTGTGTGTGTGTGTGTGTGTGTGTGTGTGTGTGTGTGTGCGTGGAGCCTTCAGCGTGCACTGCTAAGTGAGTAGACCCATAGTGTGTGAAGTCCTACCAACCCTGTGTGAGAAGCTCCTGTGTGTGTGTGTGTGCAGAACCCTCTCTATGGAACCTTGTGTGTGTGGACCGTCTCAGTGTACTTCTCTGCGCGACCCACTGCGCAACCCACCATGCGACCCACGCGCAATCCGCCGAGCGCCCCCCACCGCGCAGCCCCCCACCGCGCAAGCCACCGCGCACCCGCCACCGCACCACCCAGCAACGGCCTCGTGGGCCCCGCAGGCTCTGGCCGCTCCGCCCCCGCCCGCGCCACCGCCCTGCGTCCGCGGTCGCTGCGACTGCCGCTCGCCCGCTCCGCGGGGGCATCGGTGACCTCACGCTTCGAGGCCGCAGCTCCGCCGCACCCCAGCGGATGGCGGGTCTCATTTGCACGATTATCTCTCTCTCTCTCTCTCGGCGCTCTGGCGCCACCGCCGGGCTCTCGTAGGCCCGCCCCCCCCCTGGGGTAGCCCGCGCCTCGCTTCGCCTCGCCTCGCCGCCTCCTCTCCTCGGGGGCTCCTCGCGCCGCACTGTCGCTCCGAAGGCTTGACCTCTGGCCGCCTCAGCCGGCACTGCCCTGGCCTTCGCTCTCCCGCTCGTCGGGCGTTGAGTTCTATGCATCTCCGCCGCCCCTGGCCGGACCCAGCCTGGGCCCAAGATCGGTGTATGATACACGTCTCGCTGGCCAAGCCAGGGGGGCGTACTACACTGCGCTCCTGGGCCCGGGATGGGCCCGGCCAGGAGCGGTGGCTATGGACAGATCTTGGCGTCTCGGATCGGTGATCCCGGCACCGTGTCGTCGCCACTCGCGTGCGTTCTGGGGGCCTGCCGCTGCCCCCGCCTCCGCCCCTGCGCCGCTGCTCCGACCGGCGCCTTGGGCGCGACTGCGGCCTACCGCGGGCTGCTTTCTGCTGCCAATCCTCGGCGCTTGGCGCCTTGGGCGTGCCTCCACCCGCGCTGGACTCCGCCCTCTGGGCCTCCTCGCTCCGTGTGCTTCGCGGCGCCACCATCGTATCCGCGGCTGTAGGCTGCGCCTCGGCGCCTTCCGCCGCCTTGCCGCGCGCTGTGGGGTATTCGGGCGTTTCCTGCGGCACCGGTTGCACGTTCCGCGGCCTTCCTCCGTCATTCCACGCTGCCCAGGTTGCTGAGCTACTTCCTGGTCGGGCTCTTTTGTTTTCGCGCTTCGGGTCCTCCAGTGGATGTTTCGCTCCCTCCATTCTCCGCTCTGTGCTGTACTTTCGTCGCTGCGCCTAGTCGGTGGATCCCGCAGCGCGTCGGCCTGATTTGGAAGCATGAGTGTGGATGTGTATATGGTCTGTACGTGGCCCATCTTAGTTGTACCTGTTTCCCGTTTTGCTAGGTGCATTCGAGGGGGAGCTGCCAGGGGCTATATCACAGGCCCATCTAGCCCAGATTCTCGGGAATTCTTCAGTGGAAAGGCAATTTTGTGGGGGAGGCGCGCTTCTTGTCATGGCCCCACCCCATTGTCACGGCCATTGTGCAGACAAGTTTCTCGGACCTCCCATGGGGGGCCGCAATGGGTATTCCCCACCCATCTTGTGGTGTTGGGTCTTCGTTTTGAAAGGACAGCGCCCCGCGTCCCACTCCTCCTCCTCAAGCCTCCTCCCCCTCCTCCCCCCATCCCTCCTCCCCCTCCTTGCGTTTGCTCTCCGCATGTTTCTGTTTCGGCACACCCCTCACACGCTTCGTGGCCCCATAGGAAGCTCCAACTAAGGTCCTAGTGGCGCAGCTCGCATGGCGGGGCGCGGCCCCATTCTGGCACACCCGTCACACGTTTCGTGGCCAAATAGAAAGCTCCTCCTAAGGTCCCAGTGGCGCAGCTCGCATGGCGGTGCCGCCCCATTCTGCCCCCCCCCCCCCCCCCCAAATGTTTCGTGAAACCATATGGAGCTCCAACGAAGTTCCCAGTGGCGCAGCTCGCATGGCGGCGCCGCCCCATTTTGGCACACCCTTCACACGTTTCGTGGCCCCACAGGGAGCCTCATCCTAAGGTCCCAGTGGCGCAGCTGTCCCAGTGGCGCAGCTCGCGTGGCGGCGCCGCCCCATTGTGGCGCACCCCTCACACGTTTGTGGCCCCACAGGGAGCTCCGACTAAGGTCCGGTGGCGCAGCTCGCATGACGGCGCCACCCCATTTTGGCACACCGGTCAAACGTTTCGTGGCCCCATGAGGAGCTACAACTGAGGTCCCATGGCCCCGCTGCCTTTTTTTCGGTCCCGTGGACTCTTGCCCTGGGCCGTCGGCTGTCCCGCGCGCCGCTCCCTCGGCCGACATCGCCCAGGCGTGATCCTGGACTGCGGCGGCCACGATGTCGGGAACGGCAAGGAGGACGACGACTGGTGGCTGGAACTCTACGTGCTGCTCTCGCGCGCCACGCGCCACGAGGACCTCCTGCTCATGCGCCGCGCATCGAGTTCTTTCGGGCAGGGCCGCCGGAGGGCTTGCAGATGCAGCTGGAGCAGTTTGCTGCGCGCACGAACCGGTGCAGAAGGGAGGCGACGGCCCTCGCCAGGGAGCTGGGCTTCACCGAGTTGATCCGCGAGGCTTGACCTGAGGAGCGACCCGCCCGGGCCTCGCCGTCTCTCGACGGTCTGACTGTTTGGCCTCGCGCCGCGGGCCACCCGTGCGCGTCGCTGGGGCCCTCTCGGGGCGACGGGCGCGAGTCGCGGGAACTCCATGCTGCGCTCTGCCCGGCGCCTCGCTTGCCCCCGTCGTCGCTTTGCCCGGCGGCCAGAGACTTACCAGCTATCGGCCGGCCTGCTAGCTATCAGCTCCTCGCAGCGGGCGGCCCGCGCGCGTCGCCGGGACCCCGTCGGGGCGACCGGCGCGCGTCGCGGGGGCTCCGCGCGGCGCCGCGCCCGCGGCCGTGGGCGCGGGCGCGCGCGGGCAACGGGGGAGAAACATAACTGGGGGCGCGTCGACGCGGGCGTCGACATTTATGCGCGTAGACTCGCGCGCGCAGACTTGTTCGCAATCGGATTCGCTCGCGCTCGCGCTCGCCCGCTTTGAGTCTTTCGCGCGCAGACCTATCGTCTTCGTTCGCGCTGCGTGCCCCGCCGCGCATGGCGGCGCGCCCTTTGAGCGGCTCGTGGCCCCGTGGGTAGCGCAGACGAAGGTGATATTCATAAATGCGATATCCACAATTATATGTGGTTGGGTCTTCCGCCGGGATACTTTCTATGCGTGGGCGCGCCACATTTGTATATGTGCATGAACGACGCGTGGAGGAATCTGCGTCGATGGGGAGTGAGCGTCGAAGGAGGGGGATGACAATCAGGAGGGATGTATTGATGAAGGTGGTAGTGATGGTGATGAAAAGTAGGGCGCGGAAAGGGGATGACGATGTTGCTGATGGTGGCGATGATGCTGGTGTTGATGATGGCGATGCTGACAGCGACGATGGTGCGGATGCTGTTGGTGATGCGGATGATGGTGATGATGGGGGCGATGATGATGATGACGATACTGCTCATGTGGATGATGCGGCTGGTGATGATGATGCTGATGATGGTGCCGCTGATGATGCTGATGATGATGATGTGGTGATGCTGATGACGGTGATGATCCAGCTGCTGATGACGACGGCGATGTTGCTGACGATGGTGATGGCGATGTCAATACTGATAAGCATGCTGATGATTCTGATGATGATGATGATGATGATGATGATGATGATGCTTGTGGCGGTGGTGGTGGTGGTAGTGGTGGTGGTGGTGGTGGTGGTGATGGTGGTGGTGATGATGATGGTGGTGGCGGTGGTGGTGACGGAGACGATGAAGGCGACGACAGTTATGATGGTGATGAGCATGGTGGTAATGATGACGAGGATGGTGATGCTGATGATATTCATGATGGCGATGGCGATGACAATGACGATGGTTATTACTGCGAAGTGGTGATGATCCTGTTGATGCTGATGCTGAGGATGCTGACGATGATTATGGTGCTTATACTGATGAGGATGAGGATGATGATGATGAGGATGCTGGCGCCCACGATGCTGCTGATGGTGCTGTTGGTTCCGACGGTGGTTCTGATGATTATGATGCTGCTGGTGATGATGATGCCGGTGGCGATGATTCGGATGATGATGATGAGTTGGATTATGATGCTGATGCTGCTGATGCTGGTGATGATGATGATGCTGCCGATGATGCTGATGCTGATGAAGATGATGCTCATACTGATGATGATTATGATGCTGCTGTTGGTGATGATGATGGCGATGCTGATGATGTGCTGATGAGGATGATGCTGTTGCTGCTGATCGTGATGATGCTGATGAGGGCGAGTCGGAGGAATAGCAGGATCAGGTGCGATATAAGCGTTTGGAGCAGAAGAAGCGAAAGAACACGGGCGAGGAAGAGGAGGAGGAGGAGGACGAGCAGAAGGGAGTACGGGAAGTAATTTGGGCTTCAAGAAGAGGATGAGGATGAGGATGAAGACGAGGATGAGGATGCTGATGCGGATGAGGATGCTGATTGTGCTGATGATGGTGCTGCTGCTGATGATGCTGGTTATGATGATGTTGCCGATGATGGTGATATGCTGATGCTGATGATGATGCTGACAATGATTGTACGATGCTGGTGATGATGATGCTGCCACTCCTGATGGTTGTGATGATGATGATGATGATGATGATGATGATGATGCTGGTGATGCTGATGCTGCTGATGATGAGTATGGTGATGTTGCTGCTGTTGCTGCCGATGAAGAGGAGGATGAGGATGATGCTGATGCTGGTGGTGACGATGCTGACGATGATGATGTTAATGATTCTGATGATACTGATGCTGATGATGATGCTGATGATGGTGATGATGAAGATGCTGTTGAATGATGCTGACGACGCTGCTGCTGATGTTGATGGTCATGATGTTGATGATGGTGCTGATGATGATGATGATGATGATGATGATGATGATGATGATGATGATGATGATGATGCTGCTGCTGCTGATGATGATGATGATGATGATGCTGGTGGTGATGATGATGATGACGGTGGTGGTGGTGGTGGTGGTGATGGTGATGATGATGATGCTGATGATGACGAGGATGCTGCTGATGCTGCTGATGCTGATACTGATGCTGTCAATGATTTATGGTAATGCTTATGAGGAGGAAGATGAGGAGGATGAGGAGGGTGTGGAGGATAAGGAGGATGAGGATGAGGATGAGGACGATGATGACGATGATGATGATGATGATGAGGATGAGGATGAGGATGAGGATGAGGATGAGGATGAGGATGAGGATGATGATGATGATGATGATGATGGTGATGATGATGATGGTGATGATGATGATGATGATGATGATGATGATGATGATGATGATGATGAGGATGATGATGATGATGATGATGCTAATGATGATGATAACGATGATGATGATGATGATGATGATGATGATGATGATGATGATGATGATGATGATGATGATGATGATGATGATGATGATGATGATGAGGAGGAGGAGGAGGAGGAGGAGGAGGAGGAGGAGGAGGCGGAGGCGGAGGCGGAGGAGGAGGATCCGCTGGAGCAGCAGGCGTTGTGCACAGCTTCGACGGCACGCTCGCGGACGCGCAGCGTTTCATGGAGTTTGGATTTTATATCGGCCGGGGAGGGGGGAGGGGCAGGCGGCAGCAGCGGCAGCGGGGCCACTAAGGTGAACGGACGGGTGGGAGAGAGAGTGTGAGGAGGAGGAGGAGGAGGAGGAGGAGGAGGAGGAGGAGGAGGAGGAGGAGGCGGAGGAGGAGGAGGAGGAGGAGGAGGAGGAGGAGGAGGAGGAGGAGGAGGAGGAGGAGGAGGAGGAGGAGGAGGAGGAGGAGGAGGAGGAGGAGGAGGAGGAGGAGGAGGAGAACGAGGAGGAATAAGATGACGATGAGGAGGGGGATGAAGCCGAGCAGGTCGAAAAAGGGCGACCGATACGCGGCTGCCAGGTGTCCACTCCGCAAGCATGCTGTCTTCTGCCTCAGCGTCAGTGGCACTTGGGGGGGCAAGGTATCAACGGCTGTTCGTTGAGAACGGCTGACAACTTGGAGGTTGTTCGGCAACTGCCAGCAGATAGGCCTGCCCTGTTGTTGGGCATGTGCACGCATAGTCCGGCAGCACGGCCACGGGGGAAGGGATGAGTGGAGGAAGGGGTGTGGGATGAGTAGGAGGATGAGGAGGAGCAGGACCATGAGCACTATGACCAGTACTTGAGATAGACATCCACAGAGACGAAGGATGATCAGGGACAGATCTGCCACGACCGCCAGGTGTTTTTCCCCGTGGCTGATGCGTTCCGCCCTGTGAAGCACGAGCGCGAGCAAGCGAGAGTTCATGCAGGGCCAGCACATGGACCCGCCGCCCCCTTCCCCGAGGCGAATCAGGCAAAGACCCTCTCTCGGCCAAACCGCGTTCACGTGGCTGCTTGTGAGCCCCCCCCCTGCTGGATGTCAGCCCTGCCCGTCCTGGACCCAGGATTTGCCCCTGATCGCCCACCGGGGGCCCGGGCTTGTCGCATCACGGGTGCGGTCGGAAATTCTTGGATAGCGTGTCGCTCCGCCAGGTCTGGCCCAGCACGCTTCGGCGCGACACGCTATCCATTTCCCGGACCCCAGGCGTCCACGTCCTGAGCCCTTCCGAGCCTCCCGCCCCGCGGAGCGGAGCGACGCGCTATCCGCTCGCATGGCATAGCGTGTCGCCGGGGCCGCCGCCACGACACGCTGTGCAGATGTTCCCGGCCGTGTCGCCCAGCCTTGGCCCCACCCTCTGGCCACCTGCCCACCACAGAGGGTCGCAGCGTCGTCGCCCGCGCGGGGCCGCCAGGACGTGTGCGCCCGCCCCGCCCCGCCCCACCCTTTGGCCTGTTCGGGCGAGAGGCCCAGGGCTGGCTCAAGATGGGCCCCAAGGACGGGGTGGGCGGGAGGGGCAGGCGGACGTGTGGCGCCAGTCGGGGGCCCAGGACGGTTCGAAGTCGCCGGTCTTGGCTTAGGGCGCGCTCGGGCCAGAGCGGGCAGCAGCAGTTCCAGGCAGGCCAGGTCCAGTGGTTGTTTTGCTGCCCCACTCTGGCTCCTCCTGGAGCGGACGCGCCTCAGGCTTTTACTCGAGACCGACGCTCCGTGGTGCAGCATTAAGGCGCCATTCCTTGCATGTTCTTCTCTTGAGCTGCGCGGCGGGAAAGAATATCCAGAGATCTGCACAGGCATCGAACTGAAGTGATAAGCGTGTCTGTGAACAGTTGTGTCTGTATGGGTGAGCCTGTTGTTCGCTCGCGCTCTCTCGATCCGTGGTGTCCGAGGAGGAGAAAGAGGAGGACTGAGGAGGACGGAGGAGGAGGAGGCGGAGGAGGAGGAGGAGGAGGAGGAGGAGGAGGAGGAGGAGGAGGAGGGGGGGGGGTTACCAGCAGCGCAGCCGCTCTCCAGCCGCGCCGCGCGTGTGTATATCCCCCCCGCGTGCTGTCAGGCCTGCGGGCGTGCGGGCAGCGCCTGCTACTCGTGCCCGCGCCTTGACCGCCCTACGGTTGGGTTTTACCAACGATAATAACGACAACGATCACAACGACAACGGTAACAACGATAACATCGACAACGATAACAACGATATCAACCGATAGCAACAATAACAACGCGTCCCTCGTCGTGCCCTCTCTCACCCCCTTTCGCTGGCACGCCTTATTTTGAACAGCGGAGATGTGCATAAACACGCACTTTCTGAGGTCCGTGCGAAGTTCTTGGATCGGCGCTGGACCCCCCTCCCGGGCGCACGAAGCGCGCCAGAGGCAGCGCGGGAGGCACCGGCAGGGGGCCCAACGCAGATCCAAGAAGTCCGCGCGGAGCTCCGAAAGTTCATGTTCTTGCAGTTTGTTGTTGCTCCATTCTTCTGCTCTTTGCTGCCGTCCGGGCGGGCCCGATGCCACCAGTGGCCTCCCGGCTGCCTGTTCTGTGCCTCCGCGCCCCTTCCTGCGCTCACCGAGCGCGCTCCACTACTCGCAAAGTGCCTACTCGCAAGCGTCCGAAACACATAGGCCTGCATCGATGTAATGTATTACGGAGCGTGAATTACCTACCCCGCTTTCGCTTCCAGGCAAAACCAAGTCATACCACGCGACTCCTCGTCAAGCGGCCTGACCAGTACAGGCCGTAGTTTGGCATCGCTTGGTATCTCTTGGAAGCGAGGGTGGTCAAAAGCGAGGTAGGTTTGTTTGCCCCCTATGTATCGTAAATCCCCCATGGCGGATCCAGGCCATCTGCGAGTGCTTCCTCTGCGAGTCGTGGAGCGCGCTTGCCTAGGCTTGGCGGTCGCGCGGGGCAGCTGCGCCGGCAGTGCCCACCCGCCCGCCCGCCGCTCTGGCCTATGGGTCCCCAGAGGCTTGGCGTCGGGGCATCTTGTTTCGCAGCGTGGAGCCCTGGAGGCCTTCAGTCATTCTCTGGGGCTGGCTTCTCTTATATCGGGGGCGGCAAAGAGGGGGGTGATGACTAGGGGGGTGTGGATATCATGGCTTGGGCCATGATGTTTCCTCAGATTTCATTGCGCCTCTTCTTTTTTTCATTACGTCCCTGGCACCCCCTCTGGGCCAACCACATGCCGCCAGCCATGATGTGCGCCCCCCCCTCTTGGACGCCCCCCTCTTGGCCGCCCCCGATTATAGAGGGCGAAGGACGGTATAACATAGAAGCTTGTCCGCCGTCGGGAACGTCTGCCCCCCGGGCGGCTGGACAGTTTATACCCCTGCGGTGCCACGTAGAGGGGTATTATAACACCTTTGCAGCCGCCCGGGGGCAGGCGTCCCCGACGGTGGAACGGTTTATGTTATATACCTTTCGTCGCCCGCTGATTCTCATCCCGCGTTGTTCACGTCTTGGCCGTCTTCGGGGCTGTTGTTTACGTCTTGACCGTCTTCGGGTTTTGCCGTGGAGGTGTTGGCGCCAGTTCGAGGCTGCCTCACACGCGCTCTGTCTGGCGAACGGGCGGGGAACGAACACAGCAGCAAGCAGTCATCCTGCGTCGTCTTTGGACGGCCCAGGGGCCCGCGAAGGTCCCCCAGGGGGCCGGAAACGGGCAGGCACCTGTCGCGCCGTGTTTCGGCTCCACGACCCGAGGAGGCCTCCTCGTCGTCGTGAAGCAGAGACGTCTGTTTCTGTCGTCCTCGTGGTCTCCTCCTCCCCTGTTTCTGTCTCCTCGTCGCCGCTCGTCGTCGTGCCCCCTCGTGTCTCCCCGCCCCCCCTGCACGCCGGCCCGGCGGTGCTGCGGCGCCTGGCTGCGCTTCGCCCAGCCTCTCCCGCGCCGCCTCGCCGTGTCCGTCCATCCCAGGAGGGGGAACACAACAGACAGACATAAGTCATCGTCGATTCCCCAGAAAACATGGGAAAATAGGAGAAGTGGGTGGGAAGGCAAAAACCCGGAAGATATGAGAAACGTATGGGGAACCCGGTTAGTTGTGTCTATTTGTTTTTGTATGTCCCAGGGCCCCGTCTCCATCTCGCCTCCTCCGGTCCTTCGCGGAGCCTTTCGTGCTCTTCGCTCGCTGCCGGCGGCACTCGGCCAGCGGCGGAGCGGCACAGAATTCGAGATGTCGCGATCGCTCAGCACGAATTTTTGAGTGTGATTCGAAGAACTCAAGAGGATGAAGGACGGGTAGGCGTTCGATCGCTCACCACGCATTTGAATTCTAATTCAAAAGCTCGGGGGAGGACACCGAGGAGGACAAGAAGGGGCTTGATGGAGGGAGCGGGGCGAGGACGGATCTCCGAGCGAGCATCGCTGCACGTCGGCCCTCGCATCCGCTCGCCGTGTGCGGCGCGCTCGTGCCGCCTCCGGCCACGCACAGCAGTGGCCCTTCGCCGGAGTGGCCTTTGGTGTTCGCGGCCTTCGGGGGGTGCGGGGGGAGCGAAGCCCGGGCAGGCGGGTGGCTGCTGCCACACCTCACGCAACAGTCGGCAGGCCGCGCACTATGAAGGTCGCTCTTGCCTGAGGGGTCGCTCGTGCGTGTGGCCGACTCTCGTTGCTGCCCCTGCCTCGTCTTGCGCTGTCGCTCGTCGCTCTCGCCCCTGCCCGCTTCGGCGTGCCCCTGGAGTGCACGGCTCCGTTTCGAGCGCGGTCGCCACGCGCGCGGTTGCAACTTATGCCAGCGCGCCCCGTTGGTAGGCATCCGGCTGTTGGTGCAACGCTGCGGAGGAGGAAGAAGTGTGTGTGTGTGTGTGTGTGCGTGCGTGCGTGTGTGTGTGTGTGTGTGTGTGTGTTCGTGTGTGTGTGCGCGTCTTTCTCCGCCCCGTTAATTAGCCCGCTTCGCACTTTTAAGTGGGTTGCGACCGATGGGGCCTACGTGGATTCTCTCTTGTACCTTCGCGTGTGGGTCGCCCACACCGGCTTGCACGGCCTTCGGCATCTCTCACGTGCACCCGCTCCGGCGATGTTGATTCCTACTGCATGCGTCAGGCAGGCTCTGAGCACCCATGTACAAGGCCAGGTCATCATTTAACTGGACGTGGTCCGCACGAGTACCCGCTGCGGTGGCACCCAATGGGCGGCCGTCGAAAAAAAGTGCGTGTGCGTGTGTGTGTGTGTGTGCGTGTGTGTGCGTGTGTGTGTGTGTGTGTGTGTGTGTGTGTGTGTGTGTGTGTGTGGTGTGTGTGTGTGTGCGTGTGCGTGCGTGCGTGCGTGCGTGCGTGCGTGCGCGTGTGTGTGGTGTGTGTGTGTGTGTGTGTGTGTGTGTGTATGTATGTGTGCGTGCGTGTGTGTGTGTGTGTATATATGTGTATGTGTGTGTGTGTGTGTGTGTGTGTTTGTGTGTGTTGCTTATGCCCTTTGCGTTCTTGGTCGTCCGCTCTCGCCGCCCCTGCCATCGCCTCTTCTGGCCCGTCTCTATCCTCCCTGCTCGCTCGGCTTGGGCCTCGCCTTGACTATAAGACCCCTGTGTGGCTGCGCGAGCGGGTGCCGACGTGCAACAGGTCAGTGTGCGTGCGCGCGCGCGCCTGTACGCAGAATGGCTCTCCGACGCATTTGGTCGTCCGCCGTCTGCTCCTGGGGGAAGCGGGTCCTGGAGTTGTCGTTCGCCGTTTTTGGCCTCCCTCGCCTTGGCCCTCCACGGGTCTCGGGACCATCAAGCAACGATTCGGCATGAAACAGCTGTCCGGGGGAAAAGCTTCGGGACCGAGGACCCGCTTCCGTCGGGAACCCGCTCCTCCATGCCGAGCCGCAGAGCCCGTTCGCCACCGAGAGCCACCGCACTAAATGGGACATTTGCCGCTTCGCGCGGCGCGAGGCGCGTAGTCAGGTGACCTCTTAGCATTTACTCCCCGCCGCTCCCTGTTGCTGGCCTCGTGTCGGTCCTTGGTCCTCCTCCTCGCCCTCCTCGCCCCTCGCCCCCTCTGTTGGGCCGACGCTTCGCGGCAGCACTTCGGGGCGGTTGCCTGCTACACAGGTACTTTGATCGCCCAGCGCAGCTCGATAGCTCGTCAGAGACACAAAGCAGCTCGGGCGATTGCAGGGGGAGTCTGAAAATGATGGGCCAAGTGTCCACCACTGCTACCACAGGCAGGACGGGGAAGAAAGGAGGATGGGGAGGTCCTCCTCCTCCTGCTCCTTCTCCTCCTCCTTTCCTCCTCCTCCTCCTCCTCCTCCTCCTCCTCCTCCTCCTCGATGCCACGGCCTCACCGGCGGGGTCTCGGGAAGGCCCAGCGCTCGGGCAGGCGGGAACCCCGGGAGCACTCCCGGCCCCTCCGCACGCGGGGTCATCCTCGTTCTTCTCCTCCTTGTGCTGCTGTCTTGCTCCTCTTCCTCCCTGGCAGGGCGCGGCGCCAGGAGAACGCGCTCCTGGCCCCCCCCCCGATGCGATGCGATGCGATGCGATGCGACCACCGTTGCGGACAGCGTCTGGGCCTAGAGCAGACCAGGTGGGTGAGGCCATGGCCTCTAGGATCTGAGGTGTCTGGATTCATGCGATGCGCGACATGTAAAAAGTTAGGAGGAGAGGGGGGAGAGGAGGACCGCCGGCATCGTCGCCAGCGTGGCTGCCGGCGCGGCCGCCGGCGCGGCCGCGGCGGGCCTCGGCGGGCCCCTCCCCGGCGCCAGGGGGGCCCTGCGCCTCGTGGCGCTCGGGCCTCCCGCCGTGCCGCCGTGCCGCCTCCCCGCCGTCGCCGCGCCTCCGCCTCCGCCTCGCTGGCCGCGGCTCCTGCCTCGTGCGCTCTGGCTCCGCTGCCTCCTCCTCGTGCCCCAGAGGAGGAAGAGGTACCCTCTGCACCCCTACCCTTCCCTGGCTTCCCCCGTTTTGGGCTTCCAGGGCGGCCCTCGTCGCCACCCCTGGATCCGCCTCGAAATCCTGGTCAGAACGCGCCCCGGGAGAGGTCACGGGGGCAGCGGTCTCGGTACCTTTTCGTCTCCCCCGTGCCTCCTCCCCTCGGGCGCGCGACGCGATCCTGGCAGGGCGGCGGCCGCGGGCATAGGCAGCCACACCGCACGCGGTGGCGCCCTGCGCGCCTCTGCAGGCGGAGGGCGCCCGGGGCCGCGGCTCGTCTCTCCGTGCGTCTCGCGGCAGCCGAGGCTCTTGTGCTCCCGGGTGCAGCCGAGCTGCACACGTCCTCCCGGCTAGCTTTCGGCCTCGACTCGGGTGCTAGACCTTGGTCGTTCCTCGTTCCTCCTCCTCCTCCTCCTCCTCCTCCTCCTCCTCCTCCTCATCCCCCAGAGGCTACGCACGCGGGGCATGGCCTCGTGAGGACCACGTGGGACGAGGCCATCCGGCGCTGCGGCAGTTGCGGCAGTTGCGCCCTTTGCCATGCGTGTTTTGGCTCTTTTGATTCAAGTGGCTTTCGCCATTCCGCCGACACCCAGAAGGAGTGAGTGTTTGAGACGATCTTGGAAGTTGTATCCTGGATCAGGAGACTCTTGGATGAATATGAGGGGCTCATGGGGTGCTTCTAGCGGGCCTCTTGGAGGGCTTTTGGGGGCATCTTGGAGGCCTTGGAGGGCTTCATGGAGGTTTATTGGGAGTGTTTGGGAGCTTTGTGGGAGCATGTTGGGTTGACTTGGTGGGCCAGTAGTCATGAAAGCAACATGGCCCCCAGAAGGAGTACATGCTTGTGACGATCGTGAAAGTTGTCTAGTGGTCTCTGCCCACCCCGCCACAGTGCCTGGGCTGGAAGAACCTGAGGGTCTCTTGAGATGCCTCTCTGGGGCCTCTTGGAGAACTCTTGGAGGCATCTGGGAGGCTTTTTTGGGCCTCGTGGGGGGCTCTGGGGGCTTCTTGGGGGCGTCTTGAAGGCCCCTTGGGGCCTCTTGGAGGGGCCTGGGGGGCCTCTGGAGGGCTCGAGGGGCCATCTTGGTGGGAAAGGCTTGAGGTGTCAGCTCGTATTCTCCCTCCTGGGTTTTCTGGAGCCCTCTTGGGGCCCTGCAGGGGCTGCCTTGAGTCATCTTGGGGGGCCCCTGGAGCTGTCGGCGGGCCCTCGTGGGCCGTCTTGGGGCCTTCTTTGGAGCATCATGGGCCGTCTTGGGACGATCTTGGGGGCAACTTGGGCCGTCGTGTTCGCTGTCAAAGCGTAAAATGCAAATGTGCCGAAACTGTGAGTTTTCCACAGGATATGGGATCATGTTGGCCTCCTGGGACGCTCTCGGCGATCCTCTGGAGGCGCTTTTGTGCGGTCTTGGTGGCCTCGTGGGCCATCTTGGAGCCATCTTGGCTCGTCGTGGGGCTACCCTGGACCGTCATGACGCTCTCTTCGACTGTCTTGGCGCTCTGTGCGGGCCCTGTTGGGCTGTCTCGGGGCTTCTTGGGGGCTCTAGAGGCCCCAGGGGTGCGTCGACGAGCTCGCGCCCCCCCCCCCCCCTCCCCCCTCCCCTAGAATGGCATTTTGGACCCCAGGGGAGGGGGAACGGGGGAGGGGGACTCCAAATGTCCCACACGCCGTTTCACCCCAGGCAAGCGGGGGATCGGCGGATTGGGGGGCTCGCAGGCGTCCTTGGAGAGGCCACTGGCGCTCGCGGCCGGCGATCGAGGAGGAGGAGGAGGAGGAGGAGGAGGAGGAGGAGGAGGAGGAGGCGGAGGCGGAGGCGGAGGCGGAGGCGGAGGCGGAGGAGGCGGAGGCGGAGGAGGCGGATGATGATGAGGAGGAGGAGGAGGAGGAGGAGGCGGAGGAGGCGGAGGAGGAGGAGGAGGAGGAGGAGGAGGAGGAGGAGGAGGAGGAGGGAGGAAGGAGGAGGGACCCCCTCCTCGCACCCCCCCTAAAGCAGTGGAGAGGTCGCGCGCGCCCGCTCAGCGGGCATCTCGACCCCTGTCCGCTCCTCCTCCTCCTCCTCCTCCTCGTCTCCTCCCTCCTCCTCCTCCTCTTCCTTTTCCTCCTCCTCCCTCTACTCCTTCTCCTTCTCCTCCTCCTCCTCCTGCTCCTCCTCCTCCTCCGTCTCCTCCTCTTGGGGGTGGCCCAGGACAGTATTTCGGTTGATTTTGTCAGGGATGGGAAGCGGAGCAGTGTCATCTACCAGCGCAGATCCCCGTGCAGTAACATGGGTTTATCTCCATGTAGCCCGTTCACGTCCCCCTTTCCTTTCCTGTTCCCATGCTTGATCTTACCTCGTATGTGGTGTGCCACCTTTCCCTCCATCCAGCTCCCACAGCACTCATTGTCTTTCCTACGCCTCCCGTCGTTCTCTGGTCTCTTATATTCTGCATCCTTGCTGCCGCTAATTAGTGGTCCCCCTTCCTGACGTCCAAAGAGCTGTGCATTGAAGCCTTGCCTTGGCCCGGATTGCGCTGTCTGCGCCTGACGTATCAGCAACAATGCTTTTGTGCGAGCGCTGCGGACCGGCAGGTCAAGAAGCCAGAAAAATGGGAGGCTGGCAAGTGCGTGAAGGATCGCTGTGAGCCGTGCCACTTGCGCCAGGCAGCTTCGCTTGCGGGTTTTGTGTGGAGGGAGGGTGCGGGGCTGCAGCGCCGATGGTTTCAGTGAGCTCTCCCACAGCCTGCCTGGTTCCTTCAACCCAGATGGCCCAGGAGAGGCATACGTCCCTGTCAGCTGTGCTCTGCAGGCTCTGTGTGAGTGAATTTGTCATAGGAGCGTTGCCTGGGTCGGGAGCAGGCTAGGACATGCACTGTGAGTATGCTTCACTGAGGAGCTGCGAGTTACCATGTGCGTTGCGCAGAATGCAGGATGGCTTGTGAAGCGAAAGCGCGCGATACGCATAACACCGTATGCCGACGCCGTCTACAGGATACCGCTTGGATCGCGAGCGTCCCGAGTGGGATGACGTCAGTTATGCAGCATCCAGGGTTCTGCATCCAGCGTTCATTGTGCACGGGACGCCCTGATTCATACCATATCTGGTGCGCAGCATTCGACGTACAGTGTGTGACGTAGGGCATCCTGGCCTCAGAGACCAGGCAACCATTACAGTGCACAGTATTGCAAACATGTGTCTAGGTCCAGGGTTATGCAAAGCAGATAATAAGACAACCAACCTAGACAAACTCTTTCGGGTGCAGTTCGGTATTGATTTTTATGCCTAGTCGGTGCCCTCGCCTCGATCGTAGTGGTAGAGATTGTGTGAACAGGTGTGTGTGTGTGTGTGTGTGTGTGTGTGTGTTTGTCTGTGTGCGTGTGTGCGTGTGTGCGCGCGCGTGTGTGTGTGTGTGTGTGTGTGTGTGTGTTAATTCGTGCATGTGCAGATGCGATGATGTGCGCGCCGTCTGTAAACACGTCCACCTCGATTAGGAGTGTGGCCGCAGGCCCGCGACACGGTGTGGTGCGTGGAGCGCCTTGCGCACACGTCCGCCACGCGCCGTGCAGCTTTCTGATCCGACCCGCCCCGTGAGCCGACTCACGTCACCCGTCACAGGCAGG